AATACTTTATGGTTTCAGTGGTTTTTCACGTGAAATACTATTTTTAAATTATCTTGTTAAGGAATATTTAAATGATCGAATAATTAATATTTCCCAATAAATGATTATTAAAACATTATGGAATAGTCACTCAATGTATCTAATAGGTTTCATGCTCGCTATACATCATAATGGTTATATATATTCAGTAGCTTAGTAGATAATTAGTTGATGTTTGAAGCGAATGGTAGTAGATTTGAGTTTCAAACTGAATTTCAACATTGGGATATAGATACGTACATCCAATTGACTAGTCTTAAATAGAAAGAATCTGATCTGCTAGAAAGAAAAGTCACAATTAGATTGATTTACTCATTATGATTTTTTTCTTCAACATTACTTCCGTTTTGTTAATTCAAGATGATAATTACTTACTGTAACATTCGGTTTTGTTTTCCAGTGGAACATTTTATTCTTTATAATATACGTTATTCTTGTATTAAGTTAACATGAACTGACCTCGGCATATGATTTTTTATAACTGTGAGAATTTTTCATATATGTGATTTCAACCTAATTATTAACCAAAAATAACTCCACCTGGGGACCCTCTGGGGGCTACTGCCGGCCTCAAGCCCATATAAAGGAGGAGGGTTGGGCATGGGGTTAGCGTCCCCATCCTGTAGAAAACTAACTCGCTAAAAAAGCGTTAACCAGAAACAAATATTCAAATCATTTGAACTCTGCCCTGGGAGTTGGAAGGTCTTCATTTGGGAGAATTATGACGCCTCAAGGTGAAATCCGAGTTCCTTCGGAAGTCACGAGGTCGATGCCCCTTCTAACAACCAGAGTAACCACTTATTTAGGTACATCGAATGCTTGTACAATATGGGGGACCGGAAGAGTCTTCCGAATTACTTCAGACATGAGGAGATACAACCTAGAGTTGCTTGGGACCGGTGAAACACATTGGACGCAAGTTGGACAACAACGACTAGCTTCAGGAGAGCTTCTGTTATACTCCTGCCATGAATAAGAAAATGCCCCGCATACATGGGAGATTTAAATGCCAAGGTTGGAATGGACAACACCGGATGTGAAGACATCATGGGACGACACAGACTGGGAGAAAGGAACGAAAATGGTGAAAGATTTGCAAACCTATGTGCCTTCAATAAACTGGTCATAGGCGGCACCATATTCCCACATAAACGCATACACAAAACCACATGGACTTCACCGGATCACACTACACAAAACCAAATCGACCATATTTGCATCAACAAAACGTTCAGGAGGACTATAGAGGACGTGAGAACCAAGAGAGGAGCTGATATAGCATCAGATCATCACTTGCTGGTCGCCAAGATGAAATTGAAACTCAAGAAGCACTGGACAAGCGGCGGACAACATCACAAAAGTTCAATACGGCTTTTTTCGGGATACTAACAAACTCAACAAATTCAAGATAGTCCTCAGCAACAAGTTCCAGGCCTTTCATGATCTACTCAATGGAGAAGGAACTACTGTGGAGAGCAACTGGAAGGGGATCAAAGAGGCAATCACTTCAACATGTCATGAGGTCCTGGGTCACAAGAAGCACCACCACAAGGAATGGATCACTGTTGATACACTGGATAAGATTCAAGAAAGAGGAACAAGAAGGCAGCAATCAATACCAGCCGAACAAGAGCAGAAAAAGCCAAGGCACAAGCTGAATACACGGAAATAAACAAACAAGTGAAGAGGAGCATCAGAACCGACAAACGTAAATATGTGGAAGATTTAGCAACGACGGCGGAAAAGGCTGCAAGAGAAGGAAACATGAGACAACTGTATGACACGACAAAGAAACTCTCTGGAAATCGCCGCAAACCAGAACGACCAGTGAAAAGCAAGGAAGGCAAGGTAATCACCAACATTGAAGAGCAACAAAACAGGTGGGTAGAACACTTCAAAGAACTCTTGAATCGACCAGCTCCACTGAACCCACCCAACATCGAAGCAGCACCCACGGACCTCCCAATCAATGTTGGCCCACCAACAATTGAAGAAATCAGCATGGCCATCAGACAAATCAAGAGTGGCAAAGCAGCAGGACCGGACAACATTCCAGCAGAGGCACTAAAAGCAGACGTAGCGGCAACTGCAAGGATACTCCACATTCTCTTCAATAAGATTTGGGATGAGGAACAAGTACCAACAGACTGGAAAGAAGGACTTCTGATCAAAATACCGAAGAAAGGCGATCTCAGCAAGTGTGATAACTACAGGGGCATCACTCTTCTCTCAATACCGGGAAAAGTCTTCAACAGGGTATTGTTAAACAGGATGAAGGACTGCGTAGACGCCCAACTTCGTGACCAACAGGCAGGATTCCGTAAGGATAGATCGTGTACAGACCAAATCTCTACGGATCATTGTGGAACAATCAATTGAATGGAATTCATCACTCTACATCAACTTCATTGACTACGAAAAGGCATTTGATAGCGTGGACAGAACAACACTATGGAAACTTCTTCGACACTACGGCGTGCCTCAGAAGATAGTCAATATCATACAGAGTTCATATGATGGATTAAACTGCAAAATCGTGCATGGAGGACAGTTGACAAAGTCGTTCGAAGTGAAGACCGGTGTCAGGCAAGGTTGCTTACTCTCACCCTTTCTCTTTCTCCTGGTGATCGACTGGATCATGAAGACGTCAACATCTGAAGGGAAGCACGGGATACAATGGACATCTAGGATGCAGTTGGACGATCTGGACTTCGCAGATGATCTGGCCCTTCTATCCCAAACGCAACAACAGATGCAGGAGAAGACAGTGTGGCAGCAGCCTCAGCAGCAGTAGGTCTCAATATACACAAAGGGAAAAGCAGGATTCTCCGATACAACACAGCATGCACCAATCCAATCACAATTGACGGAGAAGATTTGGAAGATGTAAAAACCTTTACATATTTGGGCAGCATCATTGATGAACAGGGTGGATCTGATGCAGATGTGAAGGCGCGGATCGGCAAAGCAAGAGCAGCATATTTACAACTGAGGAACATCTGGAATTCAAAGCAACTGTCAACCAACACCAAGGTCAGGATTTTCAATACAAATGTCAAGACAGTTCTACTGTATGGGGCAGAAACCTGGAGAACTACGAAAGCCATCATCCAGAAAATACAGGTGTTTATTAACAGTTGTCTACGCAAAATACTTCAGATCCGTTGGCCGGACACTATTAGCAACAACGTACTGTGGGAGAGAACAAACCAGATCCCAGCGGAGGAAGAAATCAGGAAGAAGCGCTGGAAGTGGATAGGACACACATTGAGGAAAGCACCCAACTGCGTCACAAGACAAGCCCTCACATGGAATCCTGAAGGCCAAAGGAAAAGAGGAAGACCAAAGAACACATTACGCCGAGAAATGGAAATAGACATGAGAAAAATGAACAAGAATTGGATGGAACTAGAAAAGAAGGCCCAGGACAGAGTGGGTTGGAGAATGCTGGTCAGCGGCCTATGCTCCATTGGGAGTAACAGGCGTAAGTAAGTAAGTACGTAATTATCCAAAATGGGTGTATAAATCAATACATAAATGAGCATATTTTTGACTATGGTCATCGTCGTCGACGTTTTTTGGTGATTAATAAATCTTCACTTATACCGATTTTTATGTTCTTTACTTTCGCATTGTGGGAATTGCAAAGGTCCCTGTTTTCTAGTATAAGTGATAAACGTTTCCTACACAACAATCAGAGATGATCAGATATAACAATTATCGTTCAATCCGACAAGAAATATCAGAATCACTTATGTGAGATTCCATTGAAGGTTACTATTTGACTTTATTATTATATTTATGATAGTTGAATTTTCTTTCAATTAATTCTATTACTTTTCAACAATATCACTGTCACGAATAATCAGTATCTTAATCAATGAAATTCATTGTCAAAGTAAAGTAATGTGAATTCGAACGAACAATAGCACATCAATAAACCAGAAAACTATAACAATATTCCATACAATTTTGTTTATTTTTATATTCACTGAAGTTCAACTGTTACAGGTTGTTTTTTTTTAATAAATTTCGTTGATTTTAACTTTTGAAAAAAACAAACAAAGAAAGAAGAAATTTGATTATTTAGCGGCAGTTTTCGTTATTGTTGTCGGTGTCGTCGAGATGTAACACTTTCTTTCTTTATGTCTATATATATGTATACTACAATTTTAATGGCTCCAATATTTATAATAATAAAGGTAGTTAGCAGGAATTAATTAATTTAATAAATGATATAATAAGAATAATGATAAAAACCAATTGATCATAGTAAATGTAGAATTATTAGCTAGTTTATTAGTGTATATGTAAAGAAGAATAATAATGACGAAGTAAATAATACATTTTTATTAAAAAATACAATCAGCAGTACAATAAAAAGGAGAGAAAGCGGCGAAATTAACTAGTGCGATGGAATAGTTGGATTTGACATATGTCTCCTTTTTGTTTTAAGTACATATTCACCAAAGTGATATCTACACGTAGATATCAACTATTGATGTATGTATCTGTGAAAAAGAGAGAAGGAATTAAGTGTGTGATTGTATATATATATATATATATATATATATATATATATATATATATATATATATATATACATATACTAATGAATGTTTGTGAATTTTAATAGATATATAAAATTGGAAGCTCTGGCGGGAGATTTAAAGGGACTGAATTGTATGAGAATTTCGATTGTTTACTCATCACTGATATATGTACCAACCAAGAAAAAAAAGAATGGATGATTACCATATTGACTAACTAGGTGAAGTACCGGATTGTTCTATAGTTAATATATAAATTTGGTAAATTCATGTAGGCATCGAAAAAAATTAGAAGTGAAGAGTTTTTTATTTTAGAAATAAATAAATAAGCACAACCGTTGTTTAGATTTCTGTATATTTTACCCCCTTCTCCCATTAACTTTCCCATTGATTTTCTTGTTGTTTACATATCTATAGTCTTAACTCAGGTTTACGTTGTGAAATATCTGGAAGTGAAAAAAATATGAACAGTTATAATTATGAATGAAAAGTAAGCTTTCAATGTTCTATGATTATTGATACACTGATGAAGTATTCCGAATTATTAGCCATAATATAATATGTGAAGTTTACAATCTATTATCCAGACAAACCATTGGCTACTAAGTTTAATTATTATCATTGTATGGAGCAGTTATCAATGTTTAATATTGTTTTTTTTCTGTGAGCAACTTTAGAGAAATATTATTATCTGTTTCATTTATTGATTGGTTTAGATACACCTGTAAATTAAATAGTAACGATTATTCCAATTAGTTTTTAAGGCTTGTTTCTGAGTCTGCTGTTTAGGAAAATTATTGGTGTAGGAATTCCCATCCTCTTTCATATCATGAGGCAAGCCCTAACTTGGAATCCTGAATGAAAGTGAATAAGAGGAAAGCAAAAGAACACACTTCTCCGGGAATTGGAAGCAGAAATGAAAAGCATGAATAAAAACTGGAAACAAGTGAAAAAGATTGTTCACGACAGAATTGGATGGACGGCCTCTGGTCCTCCGCAGGGGTAACGGGCGTAAGTAAGTAAAGTTTTATTACAGATGCTTATGATATCATCCACGCATAACTTTTAAATTGATATATTTTCGATTAGGTCTCAGTTTAAATTTCCAACATTTACCACATTAACATCTGTTACTAATGGTCCTAAAGAATTACTGCATTGCCTATTTCTTTAATAGTTCTACCGTAAGTCCTTCGGAATGGAAATTCCCCAGATAGCCTCTTAAAAATGTTGATGAGATATTTTACTACTTAAAAAGAGAAAAGTAGGTAAAATATATGAAATCACTTTGTATCATGATTTGTTGATTGCTATTGACGATAGCACCATGTGAACACTTTCTAACATTTCCAGGTGTGTTTTTATATGCAACTTCGAACTCTAAATCAATGATGCAGTAAAACTCCAGCGTATAAATCACACAAATTAATGTAGTTATTTTCTTGTCTATTCTTTGAAAATGGGATATATGCAAGGAAAATGTAATACAAATACCATTTAAAATCTTATGACGAGAGAGGGAGAGAGAGAAAGTGGATCCTAAGACTGGAGAAAACCAATGTATTTCATAATTAGAGATAAACCTCAATAATAATCATTATTGTAATACTTGTAATCCTCTAGGCACTATATGTCAAGTGGGGATTAATTGTGATTGTTGTGAATATCTGGTCATAATGAGTTCTATGGTACTAAACAAAAATTATTATTGTTATCACTATATTTAAAACATATTCACATTTGAATTTGCATCATCTAAAACACAAAAACTACAAAACTATACCAGTGATGATATCGTCAGTTATACGATGTGGAAGTGGATGTTTAATATTCTCTGGAGATCTTTCTGAATAAGATCTTTGTGCTATTTGTCTGTTAGAATTATACTGTTGGTTTGATTCCATAGGTGTTCCAGTTAATTGACCAACACTTTCTGAACAATTTTTGGAATTGTTTTTATTAATACCACCGGATGATGAACGCTACATGGATCAAAGGATATTAAAAACATGATAACAAAATACACACCAGTTATGAATAGTTTAGCATTTATCGATCGTAAGTTAAAAAGTTCTATATTGTTTTAATGTGGTTATTTAATTATTTTAATAAAGATAGATTGTGATTGACACAATTTCGTCTCACCTGCAACCCGTCATTTGGACGTTTCTAAATCTTAGTGTTGATGTTCCTAATAATGGCTTCATTTATCACGTAATGTATAATTAGTCGCAAGGCTTCAAATGTGTCATGGTAAGAAGTGTTAGTAAACACTAATTGTCCTGGTGTAAAGGAATCTCTCACAATGTTTACATTTTCAGTAAAGCATGGATATAACTGCTTTAATATTGATGATCTCAGCTGCAAAGTACTTTCCATTGATAATTGATTTAAAGCTTTGCTTCAGCGTAAAGCTATTTGGTTGACCATTGAATAGCAGAAGGATTTGGACAGCTTTTCTTAAGATGATAGGGGCATAACAGGTGTCAGTGTACTGTCAGTACCTTATCGGTCTGTGAATTTTAATTGACACACATTCTACATCAATACTGCGTTCATTAGATTCACCGTATCATTTGACCAGATATGATCGGTCCCACTGAATTAGCCTTTTATCAAACCTCGTTTTTACAGGACTGGATGATAAATACGAAATTCGAGATACTACCCTGTTCATGTAGGCTGTAGAAGCTAATTTCCCCCTATATCTGACTCCAATAAATAGTATCCCGTTAACTGAGCATTTAATGCAGGCTAAATCTCTTAGAAGAATTATTGATTTACTCGAGATTATTCAAATGCCTGAACACCAGTTATAAAGATAGTTTATTGTTAAAGATTGGTAAAATCCGCAAACGTATAGGAAGCAAGCACACAGGGAAACCAAGAGTGTGTTTGTGTGTGAGTGTTAAAAATCTATATATATTTATGAGTGTTAATCGATTGTGGATAAATTATTGATTGTCTGTGTATTACAACCAATCAGAGAATAGATTAGAAATTGATGTGCAGATATGTGCTCAATCATATTCACACAGAAAATTACATAGTGGATTAAGCGTCTAAATTACAGTGAGCAGATAAATAATGCAGTATTTGAATGGGCTTACTACAAGGCATTCCATAGACAGGTTATTTGATTCGGGTATATTCTTTTCTACTTATAAGAATATCTAAGACAGGAAGCTGGCTATTCTTCCCGTTTCAAATGAAAGACAAACGTAATCTTGAAGAGATTTATGTTTTCTTAATAAATAATTCACATCTTCAGTTTTGTCACTTATGACTATTATTTGATTCATATACCACATATGAAGATACATTTTGGGTTGAGTTTTTAGTCAAATTCTCAACATATAACATAAGTACGTCAGCTCATTATAGTTCTGAAAATATGAAACAAACTATTGGTATATAATAAGAAATTTTTGGGAATTGTTACAAGAATAGGTAATTAAAGATTATTCGAAGAGGTAAGTGACATAAGGTATCATGTTCATTATGTGACGAAATATTTTTAATCAAAGAATTAGCTTCGAAAGAAGGCACTCTTTATTTTTTGATATTATATCAGTGATTGGTCAGCTTGAATGAAACCTACAAGTATGCTTGTGATTGGACTACTTATACTGACATATATAAGTAGTATTTAGTGACACTGGGAAGTGCAATGCCAGCTAGCAGAAGATTGAATTGAAGAGACGAGAAAAAAAGAAATAGGGAGCAATTGGAACAACAACAGAATTGAAAGAATTTCGAGGAATTTTAAGGACAACTGATGAAAGATGTGAAAATAATGTATTGACTGTATAATTTTCATATTTTACTAAACCACTGTGTGATTTGTATCAAACATTAAACTTGTTTCCTCACCAAATCTTCATTCACTACATACTTACATCATTGTCATTAAGAATTAACAGTTATGTTAGATATTTTACAAGATTATATGTAGTTGGTCGATAAATTCATAAAACTGAACGTAAATGTATAAATACACAGAATTAGTTTTCTATAGTTTAGAGAGATTTCTGTCGATCTCTCATTAAATGCTAGACAGGAATATGAACCTAGATTACTTCTATGGGTAATTCCGCAAATACAATGGAAAATCCATTTACATCTAAGTATATATATATTGGTTATAAATAAATTGTTTTCATATTGAAAGCACCAGAACATTGATAGGTAAATATACTCAATAAAGGTCTAGTTAACTAAGGGATAGTATAAATGTGCCTACACTAGTGTTTTTTTTAGAGCATGACAAATGTGATAACTAACTGTTACTTGTATCATTTCAGAATTTTTATATTTGAATTAAAAGTTTTAGGCTAATTCTAAACTAATTTATGACTAGTTCGATGAACTAATATAAATTTGTTCTTAAAAGATATTTATGTGTGTCTTACCTGACGTATGCTTACGTTATTTTGATTGCCGATTCCCCCATGAACGAATTCTCCTGTAGAATTTGTATTATGTAATGGAATGGGATCAGGTGCAGAATTTCCACTTACAAGATATTGTCGAAGACGTTGTAACTGTTGTTCCAGTTGTCGATTATGTTCTTCAAGCATTACCATTCTAGCTTCAAGACGTCCTTTATGTTCCCATAATAATCGGGATTCTTGATGTGGTTCATTGGCTACACCACCAACCAATATTGCTTCATTCATATGTCCTTGATATTTGTATGGTGCTGATATCGAATCTGTAGTATACTGGTCAGTAGTAGTGTATCCAAGGTCAAGAGAAGAACTATTAGCCCGTCCAGGCAAATTTTGTGCTGATAAAGGTAGAATGCTTTAAATGGTGAAACAAAGTAGAAAAATATATGTTTTATTCAATGAGAGAGTGAAAGATAGCAGCTTCTTGTTATAAGACCAAATGAAAAGAAAGAAACTCTCAAAACAATAAACAGTGCCAACTGAAAAATGATTTTGTTTATCTGCAACTTAAAATGCGACAAATCTGTTTATTTCATAAATGATGTTGGATTGAAAAATACTAACTATGGTATTATTAAAACGTTAGTCAGTTATGTATTAAGACACTAAATATTATCCTAAAAATAAAATAATCTGTAAGTAGTCGATTATTTTATGAAACCAGAATTAAAAATTAGCACCACCTATTGTCTTAAAAATGAATTATATGCCGTAATCATAATGTTTTTATTCAATAATACAAATGATTTCGGTAGTATTGTGTTCAGTGAGCTTTGAAGGTTACTTGTGTAAATTTCATTGTTGTCTATGATGATTTAACAAGACTTATCATCATTTCATAGAGTTATTAAATCATTAGTGAGTTAGAACCGTACGCATATAGCATAAAACTAAAAGCTAGTGTACTCCAAAGTAACTGTCGGTTATCATTGAAAAAGTTGACAGCTTATTTTCAACAATAATATACACTTTTCATCGGAGATTTGGAGGTGTTACAAGTAAATATTTTAATGAAATAAGCTTGCATTAAAGTCCTTACATACGTAAAACTGACTAATATGATTAGGTCTATGAATATTTATTTACCAATTAATAGTACTATGCAATCTAGGTTAAACTTTCATGATAAGTGATATTAACCGTTGAACATTAACTTACCCTGAATCCAATGGACTTGATAAAAAGTGGCCACTATTAATCGATAATGTTCTACACGGTGAATTAGTTGGAGTTATAGTTCGTTGTATACTATTTACACGACCTGTTTCTGTTGACTGGAATGGTTGAGGATACAATAAAGGATTTGGATGAGGTATTCTAGCATTGACTCGTTGTTGTGAATATTGTATTCTATTCATTGTACCATACGATCCTGATATATTGGTTGGAGTTGTAGATCTTTGTCTTAAACGATCATATTCATACTGTAACGCACGATGTTCATCTTCAAGTGATCGGACAGTCTATTTTTAAAATATATACAATTAGAAAATAGTAAAATCTAGGAAACCTGTAATATTCATCTAATGATATTTATCTAATATTCTGTGAACTATAAAAGGAAAAAAACAACAAAAAAATTACATAGGGTCGTTTTTAGGTATAAACTGTACGCCTTCAGAGTATAACATTTAATTAAGAATCGTCTAGTTTGATAAACTTTGCGCATTAGGTTACCGGTATCAGTTATTATTTCCTGGAATTATCTCACTTTATAAACTTTAGATCAGAGAACACAATATTATCCAAATACTTCTTCTGACTTGTAAACTATAACATTGGTGGAGCGTTCTGTTGATAAAATGCTTCTAATTATGGATCGCTTTTTTATAAATTTACAAATCGCTTTTTTGCTATATGAACCAACTCAAAAGATCAATGTCAGTATAGAGTAATCTAACTAAATTTCGTATTTTTTATGTGATTAAATATCGATCTATTTAACAGGAAAATTTATTATTGCAATATAATTAATCGGTTACCTGTTGCATTTGTCCATAGGGCTGTTGTTGTAATTGTTGGATTGGATAGTTTGTAAGATAGGTTGGGGGACGAGAAAGTATATTTGTGCTACCGATAGGTTTCCACATTGTTTCTTGAATCTCCGGTGGAGGTTGTGATCTAGCTCTTAGTGAAAATGTACGTTGAATATGACGTGCATATATATCTGGATTAACGTCTTGACCCATAGAAGTCTGGTAGGATGTTTGAGGTAAATGACCAGTTGGGCCATATTGATTGTCAACGCGTAAAGTACCATTTAAAGCACGTGGCGTCCATCCAGAAAAAGATCCACGTAGTGCAGGATTTCCAAAACCTAATGGTGGGAAATTTACCCCTCGATCGGTTTGACGTCGGTCCAAACTAAGATGTCCACTAATAAACGGTTGTGTTTGTTCAACATCCATACCCGGAACATTCGTTGAAATACCATCTGATATGGTAGATCTTTCCATGATCATCGGACCAGTGGAACAAGACATTGATTGAAGTACTGATGTTTGTTGCAAATGAGGCTAAAGTGATAATACAGATGAAATAAATTTATGCACTTCTGTTTACAGTATTAAAATCAATTCGATACATTTCCTACTCAGACTCTTATTACTTTGATATTATTTCAGTTGATGAGTTCAGAATAGTGGTTTTGATCTGACGATTCATTGTATGCAAACTCTTGTCGGAACTCCAGGATGATATTTAAAACTAAGAATGTTTGGAATTCTTACATAAAGTAATTTATTTGCGTTAGTTACGCTTATAAAAAGAAAAGATTATTTTAGGAGTTTAAGGTGTAAATAGCTAATCTGTTACATTCATTATTTTTATTGCTAACCATTACGAGTTATGCCAGATAAAATATCGAAATAAATTAATTGTCACACCGATTTTCATAATTTGTTCTAAGCACCTGCGGAGCTTCCAATAGATGTTACTCCACCAACTATAGAACAAATCAGGATGGCCATCACACACATCAACAGTCGGAAACCAGCAGGACCTAACAATATACCAACCGAAGCATTGAAGTCAGACACAGAAGTAACTAAAGACATACTCCACCTTCTATTCAAGAAGATTTGGGACGAAGAGCAAGTGCCACTGACAGACTGGAAAGAGGGATACCCCAACAACATACCAAAGAAAGATCTGCGAAAATGTGAAATCTTCACAGGCATCACATTACTATCCGTACAATGAAAGGTTCTCAACAAAGTGTTGCTGAACCGAATGTAAGATTCAATGAGTACCCAGCTTCGAGATCAACAGACTGGATTCCGTAAGGATCCATCATGAAGAGGCCGAATTGCGACACTACAGATCATCGTTGAACAATCACTTGAGTGGAAAGCATTTGACAGCGTGAATAGGCGAACTCTGTTGAACCTTCTTCGAAACTATAGTACAGCTGGGAAGATCGTCAACATCATCCGGAATTCATACGACGGACAACAGTACAAAGTCGAGAATGGAGTACACTTGATGGATGCATTCCAAATTAGGACTGGAGTCAGATAAGGCTGATTACTCTCCCACTTCCTCTTTCTTCTGGTGGGTGACTGGATTATGAAGATTCCGACATGTGGTGAAAGCACTGAATACAATGGATAGCCAGGAATCAATTAGAAGATTTGGAATTGGCAGATGACCTGGCCCTTCTATCCCATACACGCGAACAAATGTGGATGAAGACAACTAGTGTAGCAGCAGCCTCTGCATCAGAAGGCCTCAACATACACAAAGAGAAGAGCAAGATCCTCAAATATAACACGAAAAACACCAACCCAGTCACACATGATGGAGAAACTCTGAGAGAGGTGGAAATGTTCACGTATCTGGACAGCATCATCGATGAATAAGGAGGATCCGACGCGACCCGAAGGCGAGGATTGACAAAGCAAGGGCTGCATTTCTACACTCGACGAACATATGGAACTCAAAACAACTGTCAACCAATGTCAAAGTCACAATCTTCAATACGAAGGTGAAGACAGTTCTACTGTACGGAGCTGAAACTTCGAGAACTTCCATAAGCATCATGAAATCGATACAATTATTTATAAACAATCGTCTACGCAAGATACTCAGTATCCGTTGGCCTGGTACCATCAGCAACAGCCTACTGTGGGAGAGAACATACTAACTTTGAATTGAAGAGGAAATTAGGAAAAGATGCTGGAAGTGGATAGAACATACATTCAAAAAATCATCAAACTGCATCAAGGGGCAAGCATGCTAACTTGAAACGCTGAAGGGAGAGTGAAAGGAGGAAGGTCGAAGAACACACTTCATCGAGAATTGGAAGCAGACATGGAAACGATGGATAGCAACTGTAAACAACTGGAAAGTAATGCTCAGAACAGAAATGAGTGGAGCGTGCTGGTGGGAAGCTCATGCTCCTCCATGACGGATAACAGATGTAAGTAAGTAATATAAGATTTTCAGGGATCTTAGCTGATCAGAAAAAGTTCTCTACCAAAACTTGAGTGATTCTCATTGAGTGGTTTTGTTGAATCCCACAAACAGTTATTTTTAAAAATAAATTTAATTATTAATATAAAATTTTACTTATATGATCAAGCTAATATCTTTCGTCTGTAATCCGTCGGTTTACAAATCCACCAACACTGTTATTATTAATGACATTGTTATTGAGATGAATTATTGAATTAAGGAATTATCAGCTTCAAAGATTACAACTACTTCGACTAGTATATATATGTTAGTAGTGTAAACTATTATTTGTAAAACAATAGGTTTAGAGTTTTGGTTAAATTATAAAGATACATTTCTCTCAAGAAAAGAATATGATTTTCAAAAACAATATTTTTTTACCAATTCAGGTTCGCTATATTGTCTTAATTCTTGACTATAACGTGCAATTAATTTATGTTCTTCATTATCACCATGATATTGTTGAATATTTACACGTTCACTAGTTTGCTTGTAACTACAGTCAAGGTCAGCTTTTAATCTTGAGTTGATTTGTAAAGTTTGCGGTGATGGAGTTGTTGTTGTTAATGGTGGTGGTGTTGTAAATAAGTTCGTATTGATATTTTTCTGTCTAGACATTGACGATTGAGTATCAGATGATGCACGCGGTGGCATTGAATATTGATTTGAAGGCATAGCTACATTTGATAATGGTCTACAACTTGGAATAGGATGTTGATTATTATTATCATTGTTGTTGTAATTATTACTTGTCTCGTTTAGAAAATAATGTTGAGGTGATTGTGTATTCGAGATCGAATTTCGATATGGGCATTTCTGATCATTAACAAACGGAGTGTCTAAATTTTGATATTCTGCAAAATCAGAGAATGGATCTTGACTGTAAGTTGGTGCTGGACGAGGTTTACTATTAGTGGAAAAGAAATGACAATGAAAGTTGAATTTTTTATTGATCATAATTAGATAAAAATCAGATCTTTTCCAGCTTTTTCTAAGCTTCATATTGATAATCAAGAACTTTTGAAAAAATCGATGTAGATAACTATAAAACGTATAATGATGAAAACTTCTATAGCGAGATATCAAAGCTCATAGCTATATCGGATACAAAATATGCTACAAATTATTAAATCTAGATATTAAAACAACCCGAAGATTGGTTACAATTCTAAGAACTTTTTCTTGGTTTTACAATCAACTGTGATATTTCTTACTGAATTATTTACATTCTTTGTGATGTGTAGCGGTTTCACAACATACATCTCTGTGCAAATCTACACTTGTCTGAACAAGTAAAATGTCTGACAAGTAAATGTGTCAATTTTAATCCCATTAATTATATTTCACTTATTCTAACATGATCAGTTATTAACTATCATACAGTTACATTTTTATAGACGTGGGAATACATGTATGTTTGTTTACTTACTTATTGCATTAAATGTATGAACTATATGTAAACCTATTCAGTAATCGACAAACTAAGTTTGGCTGCCAAGTTAAACACATATATGTAGAACAATAAATTCATTTACTTCCTTCACTGACGGTTTGTTTGATGATTAACATTTTTAAAGTATACTATGCAAGCATTTCATACTGAACGTTCTAATATCTCAATGTTATCCGGATTGGTTATACAATAAAAGTAATCAAGGATATATACAAGTTTGACGAATCAACTCTCGATGAAATGTGGGTTCAATGAGAAAGCATCCAATCATCAGTTTCCTTTCTTTTTAAATCATCATTTTATACCATATTATTACATGGTTATATGCTCTATAAAAAACTTATCCCTTTTTCTCTCTAGATCGCAATATATTAATAAAGTGACCGCTAGTGAAGATATATTAAATAAAAAACGAAGTAACATTCTAATCTCACTTCGCTGCTTCAAAGATTTATCATGAACAAGAGGGGGTTTTGTGGAGATTTTGGCAATTTCAGTTGTTGATATCATGAATCAATTGAAGCTAGACCACCATGGAAAACCTGGAAGCACTGGACGGCCGTTTCGTCCTATTGTGGGACTTCTCAGCACTGCGTATCCATGGATCCCGGCTCACAAGATTAATTATTTTTTTTCTATTTACTTACAACACTCAAATCATCAGACCATAATACTCATATAGAATCAATTTGGAAAGAATCTGTTCACTTAGTATTTCTATGTCATAAAAATCATTGAACTTAATTTGAATTAGAGAAATATGGTGAGACCTTATAGACCGACTGTTTCAAACAAAAACTTGTAATAAACCAGTCGTATTTTTACTTTAAGTTTAATAGATGAAATTACAAAATACATTGAAACATCAGATTTTATATTAGTATTGATTATGAACCTAATCAGTTGTGTGTAGGATCAGTTCACAGTATAGAAGTTTCTTGGCTTAATGTACTAGATTGAACATGTCATAGAGTATATACTACTACTAATAATAATATTTTAATAAACATTAAAATTCAGAAAATAATCATATTATGATTTAGGAACAAAAGAAAAAAACATTATTATTCAAATAAGACATACTCTTCATCAAAACTATTCAAACTATTACGTTTACACCTTGTACGACTTGTACTGGATCGTCTGACTTTTTGACCATTTGCATTATTAATTTTACGACGTTCATTTTCGTCATTTAAACGATCTCTGGACCGAAAACGATTTCTTACAATTCGTGTAAAATCTTTAAATGAATCTGTGGATGTAGACTACAATGATGATGTTGATGAATGTTTTGTTTTTTCCAAAATCAAATGGTTAATTGATACGGAAGATAGTTAAGGGGTAAAAGAAAAAAAATGAAACAAAATCAAAGTTAACATTTTACATTTCAAAAAAAGCATTATGTTTAGTATGTGGGAAATGAAATGAGAAAAATCTTTAAAAAATTATTGTATTTTAGTATTCTTTACCAAAATCAATACAGTTTGTTATCATTCAGTGTTTCTATACACACTATAAGGTCACATCGTATTGTACACAGTACTTAGGAATAACATTATGAATGTTGAACAATCATGAAGTGCAAATAAATTAAATGAAGTGTTTGAAGATCACAGTATAGTGTATTTACTGTTGACTGATTTACAAGGAGGATGTGTACCTCTCATTGAATGTCATTCTCCTCATGATTGTAAATGATCACATGTATTATAATTGGGTAGTTTTAACTACAGTTAACTTTCAAAGTAATTCTTTCACTCACTTTATTAATATACTGAATTAGATGAATCATCCAGTCATGGAGATAAATCACTTGTTTATACACCGGAATATACTTCTAAAGTGCATAAATGTATGTTGAATATTAAGGAGTTATTCACGGATATTGAAATGGGGTTTTCTAAATCTTCTTGATTTATTGACTCAAGAAAATACTGTTTATATCAGATAAATAGATTCCAAAAACCTAAACTTTCTCATATTTGGAACTAAGAAATGATCATACTTATACAACTTAAATTCGTTCAGATATAATTATGACCTTCATCCAGTGTTTACATATGTAACAGTTTAAAAGCTGAAAGCTTCTGACCATCTAAATGGAAAAAAAACAAAGAAATAAAAACCGACTTACATGACTACAATACTCTTGCATTGGATGCGTAAGCTTATGATTTCGAGATGTTCTTCCAGCGAAAAAGCATTGCTGACACATGTCAAAATTTAGACAACGTAGACAACGATATCTAAAAATTATAGAAACCAATTTAAGGATCCTAATGATTACTGCGAATATTACTATGAATTGCACTTGAAGAAACAATACAAATATTATGATGGCTATTTGTTCACTTTTCAATATCAAATTTTTATATATGAAATGTTCATATTAGAGTCATTACATGTGATTTAATCAATTGATTATTATTATTAGTAGTAGTTGCAATAGTAGTGTGGTGTGTGCTACTGATGTCGACAGATATAAGTAGTATGCATCATCAGTCGGAAGTGGAATACCCTATGGCAGACAGTTGAGAAAATCGTAGAGAGGAGAATGAGAACAGAGAGTGATTGGTATAGAAACGAAGGAACAAAAAAGTCTGAGACAATTGATGGATATTTTGCAAATGAAGTATTTACTTTATGGTCCTCACATTTTATCAAGGTATTCTGTAATGTATTTAAACACATTTGATTATCTCTATTGGTGTTCTCGTTCACAACAGTAGTAGCCCCATGTTGATTTTCTTCTAGTGGATAATATTTCATCTGATTGGCTAACCATAATTTCGATGACTTTTATTAGCACTAAATAAGTACACTTGTATAAAGTATTGAAAATCACTTGTGTTAGGAATTATATTATACAGCCTTCTGAGTTATCTACACGAAATGTGCTTAATTATTTAGTAAAGTGTATATTATAGTACACCTATCAAATTATGACGATAAATATATCACGGGAAACATTTGGATTTCATCTTTGAAATCGTAATTCATGTTAGAGCTTCTTTGACGACTTAATACATTAAGGGATTCATAGTTTTTGTTAGATGTTATTAGGTGAGAGAACTTTATTATGTAAATTTTGAAGTTGTATTTACAACTCTTAATGATTCAACGTACACATAGATTTGTTTCTGCTTTAAGAGGAAACAAGTCGATAGTGTCTTCACTAAACATTTATTTAAAATTGGCATTTATTTACAAGAGATCTCTCAGATTCTGAGTTCACATGATTGAATATAGTATTTAAATAATGAATGGTTCTGTTTATGTGCATTGTTAGATTAGCGTACATTCTATTCTTTAAAAACAATATATATTACAATTTCATTGAGGCCGAGAATTATGAAATCAGTCATCGTTCCTGTAAGAGTCCGAAAATACTTGGAAAATTCTAGCATTAAACTCTTAACTGAATGATAGGAATTTCAACCTCACGGTAAATATGAACGAATAGTTACTAATCCTCATGAAAAGTAATATCTTAAAAACTAAATTCAAAATTAACAGTTAACTCCCTCTCTTATTCCATAGTGTCAATCATTAAATCACTGAACGAAGCGCCTATATTATAATGAAGACAATTTTACCATATAAGTTTTTTATACTAATACGCAATCAGTCAGTCAGTCAGTCAGTCAGCTACAACATAGGACCAGGCACATATATGCATCGGTCCAAGTTGCCATATCTCATTAACACAAGATGAACAACAGATTCACAAAAGTAGTTAATTCAGAGGTGGTTATATATAAAATAAAGATTGCAATAAGGATATAGTACAGGAAGAAAGAAATAATCCGTAGAAAGAAAGATATGAAGCGATTTTAATCTCTTAGTTTAAGGGAAGATAGAGAGTGTATACACCTACGCCATTGTGATCGATTCTGAGCCATGTCACCAAGAGTCTCCAGCCATTGGTTACGAAAGTCACGCAGACCCCAACCAAGTAGTCTGCATCTCCAAACATGGCTCAGACTAGAAGTTAGTGACTTCAAGCACTGATGCTACGTTTTGGTTTGGCCGCCCCTAACTTTCTTCCAACCATCTCCAACACCGGTTAGCATTGTACGTCGTGGTAATCGGTGTTCAGGCATACGCAATAAACGTTATTATCCATTGTTATTTCAATTAAATTAGGAAAAAAGTTTGAGAACTATACAGATAATAAGTATGTGTCAAAAAACATTTTCAGGCGTACGTTTAATAACTTTTAAAAGATTTGGTTTGTTAAATTATTTAAAACTTTAGTCAACGTTTGTAAGCATCTCAATAAAATCTGAGAGCCATATAGTTAACAGTTAATTTTCAAAATACCAATCCATCGTCTCAAATTTCCCTGTTCCTTTGCAAATATCAATCCATTGTCTCAGATTTCGTTGTTCATTCATTTTCATACCAATTGCGTTCCGTTCCCGTTCTTTCCTTATCGATCTTCTGCTGAAATATATTCTATTTCCGACTACCGTTATATACTACTTATAAGAATATAAGTAACCCACACCACAGTATCCTTAACGAATAACAAGCTTCCTCTTGACCACTGAAAGTTAATCAGTTATTTGATTCAGAACACTTTTAGAAAGCTTTGTTTATGAATTCTGACTAACACAGAAGGTACATTTCGAAATCACGATGAATTCTAACGACTGGAACACATTTAAAGTAACCCTAATGTTTTAACTATGAAATTTATTCATTCGTTTCATATTATTGGTGGAAAAAAAATTGATAATTATGTTATTTAAAACTCAGATAAATTAACAATTTTGAAGTACATTTCTGTGTCATGTTTCAAATATATAAAACAAGATACGTATACAGAAAGAAACTTTCTCGACCAACTAAATTTCTGTATAAATTTATAATCATTTCTGAAAATGAAATATTTTAATGGAAAAAACTTTTTTTGCGGTAAGCAATTATAAATAGCCTAAGTTACTCGATACTCGATTGTGTAAGCCTGAACTCAAAGATCAATCAATGGTAAAGAATCAAATACAGGCAAAAACAAGAATTTGTTAACGTACTACGCAAAGAAGTCAACAAGTAGAGTTAAAATGTAACATAATTTGAATCAAAGCTGAACGACGTTTACATATCCGAAAGTCTTTTATATTTAGTATAACCTTGTATTTCTGTCTTCATTCATTGATCAATTAAAGTTGACTTTAACATGGTAAACTAGATTTCTTTATATGTGGTGCAAAAATAACATCTAATAAATCAAGGTATCACATTGTTTGTTTCTAATAAAGATTAGCTACTAACACAATCAAAACACAATGATCATGATCCAATTATGATAGGATTTGACAATAGAGTTTAGCTAACACCAGAACTCTACCTTGGGAGTCCTTTATTTTCTGACGATTAAAGACACTTTAGTTTGACTGATTTGGAAGTGTTTTAATATGCTATTTTCAAGGAAATTATGAATATATTTACACATAAAAGTGGTTTACCAAATCAATCTTCTAAATTTGAAATTTGACTTTACACTCCGGATTACTTGGTGTCATATTAATAGTGATTAAAGCAGATTATCTACGTTTATTGTGGAAATTAGTTGATCAAAACATATCAGTATAATAGTTTATATAGAAAATTATTAAATTAATAATTTCCACAGAAAAAAGGTTTGTAATAAAACTCAAAAATACACACATACCGAAGTCCAATAAGAGGTTGATTATGGCATACACTACAACGTATGTGATGAATTACTTGCTCAGATAAAGCAAGACGATGTAATAATGGCAACCACGTCAACATTTGTGGATTTAAACGAAGCCATGTCAAAAAATGAACAATCCTTGCTGTAGGTTTAGAATGATATGTTAAAGTTCCATCTATTTTATCCGAATGCTTTGAAATTTCAAGGACCTGAAATAGTAGAATTTGGACAAAATATGAAGAAGTTTCGAACAAAGTTTTTAGTTTACAGAGAATCTACATTTATACTTGATTGTGCTTGCTTATAAAATACAGCTTATTACTAAACATTATTTGTTTGCCTACTGTAGTACATCATTGTATTTAAATAGATTACCCGATCAGTTATAACAGAAAACAATTAAAGAATAAACCGTAGTCGTTTAGTTGATTTCTAGATGTGATAATGTTGTCTAACTTAATAGAGAGACAATTGACAAAACAGAGAGAATCCAGTTTATAGAATTTATAGATGAAAAAATATGACTGGAAAGTATTATCCGAAGGGTGTTGTGATAGATTCACAATCCTTTAGATCATTTGCTACAAGGGTGTGTAAACCTTTCAAGTTCTATTATTCATCAAACCAAATCCCATTTAAACTTTTTCCATAAGCTGAAATATTTGTAACTGAGCAAATTGTCTAAAATGTCACTTATTCGGTCAGTCAGACATACGCAAAGTAGAAACTGATCTTCCTCATAAACTGGAATGATCGGAGATTGCTACCAATCAAATAGGATAACGTCCAGTTCTAAGATTCTGGTTAAGATCTTAGTCAATTTAGACCATCATTCCAAAAGCTTTTTGGAGCTAATCCATCCAGATCTGCTGTTCTCCTTCACTTTAGGTTACCTATAGTCTTTTCAGTTTCCATTAGAGTTGAAGGATTGCTTGGAAGTAGTCGGTAAGCGAAGGCCAGTTGAATTGTTCCCTAATGTGTTCTGCTTATTGATGCAGCCTACCGAATTACGTGTGAATAATAGTTCCTTTTTTTAAAATGGTCTTCCTAACTGTCAAATTTATAAGACTTGTTTCTTTAATAAATCTATATATCTATCTAGAAAAACCATATTTAATATAAAGATTGCAATTTAAGTTGAATACTATCAGTCGTTTAAGAAAACTTATTAATGATAACATCGTTTAACAAACGATCTACCAGTGAATTAAAGCATCACAATAAGAAAATTAAGGGTTTTTTTATAAGTTACATCAATCTCTGAAACCCAGATTGGTTTGTGAACAATCAGTTATATTATTTGTGGGGAATTCATTATCTTTTTATGAAAGGACTAATGAAAATGTTCTGAATGTAAGACTTCATAGAAATAGAATAGAACAGTTCTATATTCACACAGTTCTTCTATAATATGATTATAGTTCAGTATTATCCATTGGAAGTTAATTACCAAATCAAATTTTATATTTTCTTAATTGTCACTAGGGTTATTCATAATAAAATAATAAAAAAATGAAGAAAAAATTGAATTAAACATTTGTTTCATCATAATTTTGAACTTTTCAACATGCTACATCATTTACTTTCCACTAGATTTATTAAGCTATTCAAGTTAATACTGAAGAAAATAAACAATATTCTGAACGTCAAATGTTTGATACTAGAATTTATCGGCTACTTACGTTTTAATAAGTAGCCAAATATATTTACAAAATATATTTAGTTTTCAAAGAAGATTTCGAGGTCTGTTAAAATTTAGGACCAAGATAAAACAGTAAACTAATAGTTTCTACATTTCTCTACTATTTCACATAAGCCTATACTATAGGAAAGGACCCATCAATATTCATTGCATAAGGAGGAAAAGTGAAGAATATTACTTCTAATCTATTGTTTTACTGTTGTTAGATGATTGAAGTATAATTCACACCTGGCTAGAAGGAAGCATTTTTTTCGGTAATTCTAACAAATATATAGCGACTGTAATTGAAACATTAAACTTTATTGATTGAAACTAATCATATTTCCACTGGAAAGTGTTTGATCACATACTTGTTGGAAACACGTTTTTACATATTGATTAAAATCTTCATTTCCAAACTGTCCAGTTTCACCAAGATTACGTGGAATAAGTACGCATTCATACAGTAGAGCACCTAGTCGTTGCTCATCTACACAACCATCACGATCAGATATCAGACTGAATAAATCTATGAAGTGAAAAATAAAAACTCAACTACATCTGTTTTCAAGACGCTTTCTTGCCAAAATGCATTATAGAAAAAAATTAAGTGAAATCTGTTTAATTTCTTTTATTTGGAAATGATCCGCATAAAACGTAACTAAGAATACTGAGTCTAAACATATTAGTTCTGTAGAAGGCATATGGTCATCAATTGATTTGCTGCTAGGTGATTTTAGATAGAATCATAAAATCCTGTATCTAGGTTTAGTATTAGTGGGCACTGGTCACAAGTTGTACCCAAAACCTTGAGGTAACTGACGCTTTCCACAAGACTACAACTTTTTTAAAACAGTTTCACAAAATGGGACGTTATGACTAAATTTTTACAATTTGTAAGGACCTTCTGAAGTTATTCTAAACGATGAGCCTTTATTGAAAATACTGAATTTTTCTAGTATGAGGTAATCTGAGTTCAAAATTCTTAATGGATAATTAAAAAAACTATGATTTGACACAAGGTACCTTATGATGTTGATTACTTTGATTCAACAATGCTGTTTAGTTTGCTCCTACATTATATAAAATTGTAATGTATTAGATATTAATTTCATGACTTTTCTATTCGTGTAATTATCAACTGAATGATTTCAACAAATCAGTAATCTGAGTAAATATAATAACAAGTTAAGTAGTATATTACTAGTTCGATGAACTCATTCAATTTTTATGTACACAGTCTACAACTTCTTTTGTTATACAACCTTTTGATAATATCGACTACTCATTCTAATGTTGATTTAAAGATAATAAATGCTTTAAATGAAGAAAAACTAAAATTCTCAAATAAAATTTCAGGTTAAACTTAAAAACAGTATTTTATTATCAGAATGGGGATTTGTGGAGATTGTAGTATTTTCACAATTGAATTCATGAGATGATTTAATGTAGACCACCATTGAAAATCTGGAAGCACTGGATGACTATTCTTACTTCAATAATTCCACGATGTTGCGCGACCGTATTCCATTACCTTCAATGGGTAAATGACACCTGACACCTGACACAGATCAGACTCCGATGGTCAGGGCTTCTCACTAAACACTGGATCCCGGCTCAGTTGTGTAGAGGTTGGGCCTCCGTGTGCTAAACTGAAGGTCCTGGGCTCGAGTTCCGCATGCGGAAATGTAGACGCTCACTACTGAAGAGTTCATTGCTAGGAAGAAACGGTCATCTATTGCTCCCAGGTTTCCGATGGTGGTCTAGACTAAATCGACTTGTGAATTCAACCGTATTTTACTAATCAATTATTCTTGTAGATGTCAGTTCAAATTCGATTGGATGATTTTTCAAAGTTTTGTTTGAAAATGTTTTCAGAAAATAACCATGTGTCTGAATTGTACTTACATCGATATTTCTCATCTAAATTTGCCATTGACATTAAAGCCAATGCTACTTTGAATGACAGAACACGAATGGTACCACATCGCATTCTGTAGAAAGAGATGAGGAAAAAATAAACACGAAATAAAACAGTATTACAAAAATAATATCAAAATATTTCAGACAAAGAAATGAAGTCTATGTTAATTAAGGTTTCTTTCGTAGTACCAAGTTACTACAAAGAAGAACAAATGATTTTCAAGTTGACTTCTTATAGAGAAACATACTCATGTGCAACCGATCAGAAAGCGGGAAAGACAATAGGAATAGAGATGGTGGAGAAGATTTGTAGCTCCGGTGGATGATTTTGGTAGAGTTTTGTTCTCTGAGATGGATGGTTTGGTCGTGGAGCTCTCATCGTTCTTCTGAACGACATCGTCAGCACAAACTTCAGATAGAAGTGAAGTGTTCGAATTTCTCCATATGTGTTTCACAGCTTGTTCTGTGCCAATATATATCTTATTAATTTAGTTATATTTAAACTAATTTAGCCCCTTGATATTGTAAACTCTATCCATACTTAAATTTAATGATTAAACAATGTCAAGTATTTACGAGTTCAGTGTGTTCGATTATGACTGTTGATCATAAAAGTACATCATGCATAATGTACTGTACTTAAAGTAGTTTTTGGTTATTATTTTTTTGTAACATGTTGAATTCTCATCAATCTTCGTTGCATACTTCTTTATATTATACTAATCGCAGTATTTCTTGTTCAAAGTACCAGTCTTGGTTTAGTCATAACAAACAGCAAGCATCATTTCATTTACAGTTAAAACAAACGTAATCAATATTCGATTCTTTCTAAATAATTTTACCAGTTTTTCATACTGAAGTTGAAGAAAAAAGCTATATCACAGGTAAATGCAAACCAGAAGTAAGAAACTATACAGACTGCTTAGTTTCATCTATAGCATACTTTTTAACATGTTCACTGCTCTGGTGCAAACAAATAAATGATTCTGTTAATGACAGAGAGATGACAATATTTTTTAATTATGTAACATGTAATGTGGTGTATTTCATTAGAAGATCGAGAAGGAAAGAACGGGAACGGAAAGTAATTGTTATGAAAATGCAGGAACAATGAAATCTGAGACGATGGACTGATATTTGCAAAAGAAACAGTCACATTTGAGAGAATCGATTAATGTTTTGCAAATTAAAGATTTACTATATGGTTCTCAGATTTTAGTGAGAAATTCTGTAATTTCGTGTCGAATAAATTCGGTCGTCCCCACTTGTGTTCTTATTCACCACAGGAATATTTAATTTAGTCTTCAAAGGTAAATGTGAAGACTAGCAATTGAAAATTATGGTGGCCATTAGTTCTTTTGATTTAAAATATGGTATCTGGATAGTATAGCTTTACTTAAAAAAGGAAAAATAAATTAATTCATCATTTTCAATTCTGTCAGATGAAATCAAAGAATTCCTAATAGTTGAAAAATTTAAATTATGGTTACTGAAACCTTTTGTTGAATGAATAAGATTTAGTAGAAACCAAGAAAGGAGTTGACATAGCTTCAAATCACCATTTGGTGGTTGCCAACATGAAACTGAAGTTAGAGAAGCACTGGACAACTGGACAAACAGTATTATAAATGTTCGATACAGCCTTCCTTCGAGATAGTGACAAAATCAACGATTATACTCAGTTGAAATATATAACACTTAAAAGATTACATATTCCGTCGATAGCGGAAAAAGCTGCAAGAGAAGGAAATCTGAAACAACCATATAACACAATGAGAAAGCTAGCAGGGAAATATAATAGACCAAAGTGACCGTCAAGAACAAAGAAGGCAAGACGATCACTGAAATTTGAGAGCAGAAAAACAGAATACTTCGAGGAACTCCTGAATAGACGAGCTCAAATGAACCCACCGTACATCTAGGCAGTACCTACAGTCCTTTCTACAGATGTCACTCCACCGACAATAGAACAAATCAGGATGGCCATCACACACATCAACAGTCGGAAACCAGCAGGACCTAACAATATACCAACCGAAGCATTGAAGTCAGACACAGAAGTAACTAAAGACATACTCCACCTTCTATTCAAGAAGATTTGGGACGAAGAGCAAGTGCCACTGACAGACTGGAAAGAGGGATACCCCAACAACATACCAAAGAAAGATCTGCGAAAATGTGAAATCTTCACAGGCATCACATTACTATCCGTACAATGAAAGGTTCTCAACAAAGTGTTGCTGAACCGAATGTAAGATTCAATGAGTACCCAGCTTCGAGATCAACAGACTGGATTCCGTAAGGATCCATCATGAAGAGGCCGAATTGCGACACTACAGATCATCGTTGAACAATCACTTGAGTGGAAAGCATTTGACAGCGTGAATAGGCGAACTCTGTTGAACCTTCTTCGAAACTATAGTACAGCTGGGAAGATCGTCAACATCATCCGGAATTCATACGACGGACAACAGTACAAAGTCGAGAATGGAGTACACTTGATGGATGCATTCCAAATTAGGACTGGAGTCAGATAAGGCTGATTACTCTCCCACTTCCTCTTTCTTCTGGTGGGTGACTGGATTATGAAGATTCCGACATGTGGTGAAAGCACTGAATACAATGGATAGCCAGGAATCAATTAGAAGATTTGGAATTGGCAGATGACCTGGCCCTTCTATCCCATACACGCGAACAAATGTGGATGAAGACAACTAGTGTAGCAGCAGCCTCTGCATCAGAAGGCCTCAACATACACAAAGAGAAGAGCAAGATCCTCAAATATAACACGAAAAACACCAACCCAGTCACACATGATGGAGAAACTCTGAGAGAGGTGGAAATGTTCACGTATCTGGACAGCATCATCGATGAATAAGGAGGATCCGACGCGACCCGAAGGCGAGGATTGACAAAGCAAGGGCTGCATTTCTACACTCGACGAACATATGGAACTCAAAACAACTGTCAACCAATGTCAAAGTCACAATCTTCAATACGAAGGTGAAGACAGTTCTACTGTACGGAGCTGAAACTTCGAGAACTTCCATAAGCATCATGAAATCGATACAATTATTTATAAACAATCGTCTACGCAAGATACTCAGTATCCGTTGGCCTGGTACCATCAGCAACAGCCTACTGTGGGAGAGAACATACTAACTTTGAATTGAAGAGGAAATTAGGAAAAGATGCTGGAAGTGGATAGAACATACATTCAAAAAATCATCAAACTGCTTCATCAGTTTTCAGTCGAAATCATTTACCGTTGTACATTCTATCATTATGGATTATGGTATGACTAAAATACTTTTTCAACTCAACAAAATATTTGTCTTTAGAATGTTGAAATAAGCATTTTATTAATCGTAATGCCATCTACAATCAATATGATAAAGACCAAGTAATTTGATATCAAATGAACTAGATTTTAGTATTTAATCTATATGTAATCTCCAAGGAGAAGAGGGAATCTGACAGCATTAAACAATAGCGTGATTTGGACATTTGTAAAAGATTTGTTTACCAGGTAAATGATAATTTTCTATTCAACTCAAGGAATATAATGCTATTTCAATCAGTTTAAATAATTATTTTTACGTATAACACACAACTATAGTACAATTAAGGATAACGAAATAACATACCGGTCATAAACATTTAATAACCAATTCAATATAAGATCAACGCATACATTCACCGGACGTTTAATTGAACCAATTAAATAATGCTTTCTACGTCTCATTGTATTTCGTCGACCACGATTAACACTATTCATATCTTTATTGTTATTATAATTGTTAACTTGCATGATTGTGCATACAGGTAGACTAGAACTTCGATTATCCTCACTTAATGTATTTTCATTTTCTATTGTATGACATCCTGGATCACGAACAGGAGTTTTAGTCAATTTTCTACTGTTTTCAGGTTCAGTTGATGGTGAAGAAAATAATATTGATTTATTTGGACGTGTTGTTGAAGATGAACGTAGAAAACTTCCCATACAATTTCTTGAATGATTTTGTGATTCTATTGTACTGGATTTTAATTCACACTAAAAACATTAAATTATTATCAGTATATTTGTTAGAATTGCCATAAATTGCTAAGTTATCAAATTCATAAAAAATGGTAATATTATTGATTTAACACAGGGCATTGGATAAATATGCAATTAGGTGATCTTTACTTAATGATGTATTAACAACAAAAAACATCTCACTCAAAACCTAAATCTTGTTCCGTACTAATTGAGAAATTTGTCCTGGATCTAGACAGATTTTTTATTTCTAAGTTAACATTAAATCTCATTAGTCATCATTCAAACTTCAAGGTTTATTTGTTAGTAGTCATTCAGTCAGTTACAACGTAGAACCAGATATGTATATGTATCGGTCCAAGTTTCCACAACTCATTAGCACAACAAGATGAACATCAAATCCATAGAATTAGTTACTTTAATGGTAGTAATATGTAAAAAATGATTGCATATAAGGATATGATATAGGAAGAAAGAATTAGTTCGTATAAAGAAAGGTATAAAGTAATTTTAATCTCACGGTTTAAGGAGGACAAAGAGTGTGTACACCGACGCCACTGTGATCGATACTGAGATTCACAACATCATCAACTGATTTACTATCATTCTCTAATACCATGAGTACAGTTAGTAAAAACTGGAATTCTCCATTTCATAATACCGTAGCCTATACTACAATCGTATATTAAAAGAAGATAGAACTCTCAAAGAAAAAAACTTTTGTTCTAGTAGGCGTTCAATAAGCTTAAAATATAACTGTCAAACAATTTTGGCTTCGGTAATACTTCTTACTTGTTTTTCGATCGAGAAAAATTAGATAACAAAAGAAAGGAAGTAACACTAGATGTAGTCTAATTATTTCAAAGTTGTTATTTTGAAAAGAAAGGGATGAGTTATAAAAAATTAAGAAGCTGATATGTACTATAATAAAAAGCAACTTGTTTTAAGAAATATTTACACGAATTTACCCTAGACCTTGTAGAAATAGTTAATTTCAATGATATGTGATAAAATAATGATATTTTGATGAAAAAGCACTTTATTGTGGCAGCGGATAAATGAAGCTGTAAACATTAATCTATTGCAGTGTTTGAGACATGTATTGCTCGTACTCACATCTGACATCTCTATGAATGTTTTAGGCTGATTAGTATAGGAGAATGTTGGAAAGATGAATAATGACTGAAGCAGAACATCGCACTGAATCATGAAGCAAGTAATTGTTAAACTGAAAAGTATTTAGTTATATTCATAAGACAATATCAATTGTCTTTTTTTTTATAAATGACTAACTCTGTATGTTAAACACCAAATGTATCCAGCCCTGTTATAAAAAATTCACTGATTATCGTGAAGATTTAAGCAAAAGTATGACCATAGTTTTGTATACTACTTTCTTTATATTCCTTTAGAGGAAATGACATTCAATTATATTGAGATTTATGTATCAATTACCATTACATAATGAAACATTTCTTTGATATAATGCAATTCAAAAAAATGTTTGCTTATAAATATGAAAGGTATCTGATTATTATTGAGAAACACTTTCAAAGAGGTTTTGAATATTAACAATTTAAATGAATAGTGAGAACAAATTTGTTTTCTGTTGTACATATGGCCGGATAATCAAATACACTGCATTTTGAGATGGTGGAGATTTGTAGCTCAGGTGGATGATTTGATGAAGTTTTGTTCTCTGAGCTGGTATCTCCAACGGGAGATACAACCAAAACAAAGAAGTAAACAATGACAGGTTTATGATCAACAAGAACCAATCAACTTCGAGGTCTACAGGACAGGCTGTGAACCACATGTGGAGAAATTCGAACACTTTACTTATATCTGAAGTTTGTGCTGATGACGTCGTTCAGAAGAACAATGAAAACTCCACGACCAAACATCCAGCTCAGAGAATAAAACTCCATCAATATATTGCACTAAATAGAGGGATTATTATTACCGCTAATTTTATAGATCGTTGTAGACTGTTCCATTTAATCAATAATATCATTATATATAACTAGTTTTGGCTCATGTTTTAATAATATTTATTCTACTTCATTTTGCCATTTGTCGTTCCATTTACTTAAATATATCTTTATAAAAATACTATGTAATTTTAAAAGTACAACTTACATCGGAAGGTCGTGAACCTGGCAGTGTTGAATAGGGTTCATTAATATGATCCTTTAGGTTGTAATTAGAACCATGAATATTATTTAGACATGGTTCATTTATTTTCAAATTATCTGCATCAGCTCCAGAATTATGCCCGCAAGAACTATCAGTTGAAGATTTTTGATTATGATTATTTAATCCATACAAAGTTCTTGTATGATTAAACAATTGTAGTAGATAATCAATAATTTGAGGTACACTTATCATACGATCAAATGGATCAGTTGTTTGTTGACCAAGTATAGGATTACTTAATGTTTGTGAATGGCCAATATGTTTTAAACTCTCGGCAACAATTGAGATACTTATCGAATCAACTAAACATAAAATAATTACAAAAAACATATCAAATAGATAAGTAGATACATTGAAGTACAGACGTGTTTTCCAGCCTTCGTCATATATACACAAAAAATAAGGGAATATGACTGAATTATGAAACAATTATTCAGCTCAATAAAAATCAAACTAATTAGATTCTGTTTTGATGAAGTAAAACTTTTAAAGAGTTTCACTAGAAATACAAGGTAAAAATTTATTACCACGTACTCTTCATGCTTACAATTCTATGCATCAATATCAATGTAAATAATATTGACAGCACATGTGTTAACAGTTTTGCAAATTATTTTTAATCATTAATAATGAATCTAATTTATTCAATTATTTGACTGACAGTAACTCACTGAAGACAATGACGGACGGTGGCTCGATTTCGTGGATTGGTTGAAGTTAGACATTAACACTGTTGGATGCTGGCTTAGTGATCTAAAGGTTAAGCGTTCGCTTATGAGACTGATAGGGCCTGGATTCGAGTCCCACGGTCGGAATCGTGATTGCCCACTGCTGGGGAGTCCCACACTAGGGTGTTTAGGTTTCTCATGGTGGTCTAGCTTGAACTGACTCATGAACTTAACTATTAAAATTACTATTATATTCAAAACCTCTAACCAGTAAAAAGACTATCATATTAAGCTCAATTTAATTCATACATTTAACTATGTATATTATAATTTTAAACATCATTTTTAATTCAATGTTAATATCGAGAAAAGTTGTATGACACAAATTATTGTCATATTTTCGTTTGATCAACTTAACAATCTATACATAATTTTATAGTGTAAATATAAACTACTTATAAATAAGAAAGACTAGTTCAGTGAAGAGTTCTCTTTATGGCAAATTCATTTTCAAAGCTGTACAATCGTAAATATATATATATATACTTATTTTTACAGGATGATAATAATACTGATAATAAACTTCTGTTAGACATGGTGACAGTGAGGTTAAATAAACAAGGTATTAAAAAATTTTTTAAAACAAGGAAAGTTTAATGATCGTTTGATTGTTAATGGCTGAAGTATTCATCAAAAGATAGATAGGGAAATTATCATTCGGAAAGGATGGCTCATCACGATAAGATAAAATGTTGAAATTGAGGTTAAATGTAATCAGAATGGTTGTGGAAACAAAATAAACCAGTTGGGGGTAGAAAATTTATGGGGAAGATGGAAGGTGAAACAGATGGTTGTAAAGGAAGAAGAGTATGAAGAAAGAGAAAAAGTTATAAAACATTAAGACCATAGTAGAAGAAGAGGTTGTACCAGTCTCTTTTGCACACACAATTCTGGCTTTTCAGATGTATGGCTAATGCTCCGACAATGCGAACAATATGCAGTCCAATTGTCTTTGGAAGACTTCTTCTTACCTTTTAGACTTTGAACGCAGAGTCTGTCTTGATTGCGTGACCTGTGTTCACAAGGTGCTTGATTATTAAGCTTCTTATTGAGCCGTTTCTTCCTCTTTTTAGCCACGCCGGATAATGTTCTTGAATTCTTTTGAATAAAGTACGCATCGAACGACCTATATACCTGGCTCCACATGAGCAGGTAAATTGGTAAATGCATATTGAGTTGATTAGATGCGATAATTTATCTTTCAGATTATTGGTGAACAACGATCAGCTGAAGAATACTATTCGCAAACTTGCTGCAAAGGATGTTATTTATAAAGAATCAGAAATTCTCCTCTTTAAGATGTATGTGGCTCTGTCACCCTTGAATTCGATGTTCATGTAATTATTTGGTTCTCGGCGTTTTAGGTTTTATGTTCTTACCAATGAATATCGAAGTATACCGGTTTTTAGTAAGTATCTATCTTTTGATGAATACTTCAGCCATTAACAATCAAACGATCATTAAACTTTCCTTGTTTTAAAAATTTTTTTAATACCTTTGTTTATTTAACCTCACTGTCACCATGTATAACAGAAGTTTATTATCAGTAATATTATCACCCTGTAAAGATAAGTATATATATTTGCGATTGTACAGCTTTGAAAATGAATTCGCCATAAAGAGAACTCTTCACTGAACTAATCTTTCTTACTTAATGTCTTAATGGATGTATTCATTCTGTTTACTTATAAATAATTAATATCATGTAACAAAAGTTACATTTATTTAAACGTAAAAAGACATTATTGTGTTACATATAAATACCATTATTAATATTTATCATATTTTGACATATTTTGACAAAAGAATGAAAGAAAGAAAGAAAACGTTTTAGTAACTAAATAAAATGATATAAATTCGGGTTTTCTGAAAATTTTTGTTGTTGTTGAGAATTTAACACAAGTAGTAACCATTTTGTTAACAATCAGTGTGATAATTTAAATGGAAAAGGTTTCGTGAACTTCTTTCAATAGTTATTTATATGATGAATTCAAAGAAATAATTAGAAAAAAAGATGTTACGTAATGAAATTTTATCTTTTATGACTTATATATTGGATAACTTAATAAATATATAAACTTCAGTTCAGAGGTTGTGGAGAATGTTAAGTTTTTGATTGAGATCACGAGCCGATTGATGTTAGATCACCATTCGAAAACTGGAATCACTGAACAGCCGTTTCGTCCTACTGTGGGACTACTCAACAGTGCTCATCCACGATCCCCCTCTCAGGACTCGAACCAAAGGCCCTCAGTCTTGCGCACGAACACAACCTACTGGACCACTGAGTCGGCCGGCATCCAATGATGTTAGTGACTAACGTACTGATAATGAACATGTACTCACTAGTGACTAGATTCGTGAGGGAATTCTCGGAGTTCTAGTGAGAAGCCGTGACCAGTGGAGCTAATCCGTGTTGGGTAGAGACAGGTATTTACCTCAGTACAATGGAAGATGGTCGCGCAATTTCGTGGATCGGTTGAGGTTAGACATTAACACTGTTGGATGCCAGCTCAGTGGTCCAGTAGGTTAAGCGTTCGCGTGCGAGATCTAAGGCCCTGGGTTCGAATCTCGCGGGGAGCGGGATCGTGGATGTGCACTGCTGCTGAGTCCCACAATAGGACGAAACGGCCGTCCAGTGCTTTCAGGTTCTCAATGGTGGCCTAACATCAATCGGTTCACGATCTCAATCAAAAAGATATATGTAATTAACGTTATTCAGTAATAATATTATGATTTTAAGTAGATTAATACTATTAATAATTATATGAAATGAAGAAAATATCAAGTGACTAACTTACAACATAGTTCTTTTGTAAACGACGTAGTTTTAAACCAGTTCGATAATCAGAGAAACGAACAGTATTAAACTGTTTCATAGATTTCATTAAATCACATAAAATTGGATGATCCCATTGAGTTTCTTGCGTTTCATGACTAAAAAATGAAAAGAATAGATAATGTCATTGTTGTTTCATATTGTGAAGGTAAATGTATCTGATGAGTTTCAACTTGTACGAAACACGTTTACCACATCCAATTAATAATGACGTTAGAAAAACATAATGATTATTATATGTCGTTTAACCATACACTGAGTTGAAAGTGATTGTATCATTTTGATGTACGTAAATTTCACTGAATTCATTTGAAAAGTTTATTCCTAAATGATAATATTATCTAAATAATTTTATAATAATATTTACTTTCATTTTATAAGATTGTTTTAGTATAGAGATCTAAAGTTAATAGGTATTAATGTAAACAAAAGAAATTGTTCTCCATTAGAGTTGAGTAATAGACAACCACTAAAAATATTCATTTAGATTACATAATCGTTAAAAACAATTTGTAAATTAGTCAAAATTTAGTTATCATTTGTAATACCAATTTCTATAATAAAAAAATATGTAATTTCAAGAAGCTTCTATTTGTAAGCAAGAAATATAATCATCTTGAAGTTGATTATATCAAAATTATCGAAACTTTCTACATTCGTTTTCTGTTTTCGATTTTATTATCACCCTGAAGAAGAACAGACACGTTAGCTGGACGAAACATTGGAGTGATTTAAAATTTAGTCGCTGAGATTAATTCAAATATAATTTTCACATATAATAGATTCTTCTATTTGTCTATATATTTTAACCATTCAGGAATTTGTGAGAACTTTTGTTAAGTGAAAAGTTTCATTTCAATTCACTGAAGATTTGAGTGAAAGTTATATTCGTAAACATCTTATCTATGACAGTTAAAAAAATAACTTCATTATTTAGCTTGGCAGTTGAGTTTGTTTCATTGATTCATTCTTTTTTCTTTTTTTTAAATTGTACAATAAATATAAACAAATATTTTAGTTCATACTTACTTTTTATAATATGGAACTTGTGTACCAGATGGATGAACACATCTTTCCCATGGTAAACGAACAGAATCTGAAAAAAATAAGTAGAATGATGTTAGTAATAATTTTTTTTATTTATTTGCATTTTAGTCCTATAAAGGACGAAATGGGTATCCAATGCTTCCAAGTTTTTAATGGTATTCTAGCTTAGATCGACTCATGAATTCAACTATTAAAACTACTATAATCTCTACAAACTTCCAATTCTGAAAATAACTTTCTAACAAATATGTTGATTATCATAAGAAAAAGGTATCTAGCTAAGCTGTTACACAATATATAAAATGAAACACGAATGAGGTGTACTAATCTGAAATTGTCAACTACTTTCGTAGCTGATTATAAACTCATTTTAATATTTGTAGGATATTCGCTTAAAACAGACTATGAAAGTATATCTTGAATTACAGGATTTCTAACCAATCATCTAACTATAATGCATAGTAAATAAATGAAAATTATTCTACTGTAAAAAGAAAAATTTCATAGTTTCCAGACGGTTTATTTCATGGTAAAACAGAAAAAACAAAGATTAAAATATCTTGATGAACAGAGAAAATCAGTTGTCTAATGTATAATATTAAAAAAGTACCAATTAATATTGAGATTTATAGTTTACAAGAAATTAACTAAAAAAATATAAAAAATTGATAGTGTCAATTGTCAACTCCTCACAGTTTAGCATATGGGAAAATAAGTCACTGAACAAATTGAAATACAACCATTTATCAAAGATGTATAGTGGCTAGTAGTGGAATCCAGGTTGATGCGCGTTTCTTCGTATTCTGAACTTGTCAGCTGGATGTACCTGCATCTCAGAGTTGATATTCACTCCAGGACTCGAACCCAGTACCGTTCGCTTCGAACGCCATCGCGTTATCCACTTAGCTACTGAGACCTGATAGCCACCTACTTGTGCAACGTGATGAAGTTTAAATTCACTTGCTGTTGCTTTAATTGTATCTCCCCATTGTTGAACATCAACTCTGGGATGCAGGTACACCCAGCTGACGAGTCCCAAAGAGGACGAAACGCACGTCAAACTGGATTCCACTGCTAGCCACTATCCATCTTCGCTTAAAAATCTTGTGACTTAAGCTATATCGAGGTAATCTGCACAGGATGCACATATACCAAGATGAGACTGGTCAATTGCAGTCCTAAATAATAATAGGAAGATAGATGTAGAACAACACCAAGTGAACAACCATTCATAGTTTATAAGCATTGATTTTAAATAAATATTCTGGATGTCTGAGATTAACACTAATCGTTATAAAGGTCTGTAATTGGTATACGGCTTTAAAATACTTTTCTTATTAAATTAAATCTGAATAACTATGATATCTTGCAAAACTTTGTTGTCAATTTAACGTATGAAATTATGTTGATATGAAAGTGCTAAATGTACACAAATACCTTACTCAGGATAATAAAGAAAGCTCTGTCTAATGAGTCTTATAAGAGATGAAACGTGTGAATCGAATATTATTTCCAAAACCATTAAAAGATTGAAGTTATTTAAAGCAAGGTTCTTTTACCGTGTAATGGAACATTTTTTGATTGTCCTGAAGTCGCTGGGATAGTTTGATCAACTGGTTCTATGGCTTCATGACGCGATCCTTGAGTACGTTGAGAAGAATTACGTGTAACAGTTTGATATTTCGGTCTTTGTGGCATCATTTGTAATGCTGATAAACTTTGATTAAGTTGATGAATTCGAGTTTGTGTAATAACACGTATTCTTTCAAACCTTTTATGTATAAAATAAAAGAGGTGGGTTGAAATAAACTTGGATTTAGTTTTGAAAGGAAAATGACTCAATGTACATACATGTTTACAATAAGACTCTATTTCTGTCAAGTAAGATGAACATATCAAATAAACGATATTTAAAAGACGGATTATATTCGTTGAATATGCTTGCGTGCACTATAGATGAAGTGATTGTAGACGACATGGTGAATGACTAATTATAAAGAAGTTTGAGAAATATATTATAATCGATATCTGTGTTTAGGCGGCATATTCTAGAACTTTTACCAGTCCATTCCATTTATGATATAGTAATCACTTTCTGTATGTAAGCTTGACAATAAATTTAACCGTATATTTTCGATGAAACTATACTAATTAATATAATTATGCAACAGTTCATAATCTGTTTATAATTTATATAGACAAAACGGAATTCACTTATTTTATGTCAATGAGTATAAATTCAAAGTATTTGTGATGATTTATATCCCAAATATATTCTTATATTTCAATATATGTAGTATAAGACTAAAATTTATAATTTCGCTTTATCTATAAAATAATCAGTTATTATTATTAATCTCATTTTATATTGTTTGTTCGAATCTTTCTATTGATGTTTAAGACTAAAACTGACCAGTCTCTCATTGGCATATATGCACCCTATATGGATCGTCTCGATATTACTTCAAATCCTGAGCATTATGAGCAATGATGGATGGTTGCCACCTACATCCCAGAGTTGGTGCAGATACATCCAGCTGACGAATCCCAAGTAGGATAAAACACACGTCCTGGACTTCACTGCTAGCTGCCATCCATTAATCATTATTAGAATTGTTAAATAAACTCATATGGGATTAGTTTAATAATCTAAACGACCATTTAGTGATTCCAGGTTTTCATTAGTGATTTAACATTGATTCCAATTAATAATTTGTAATTTTTAAATCACTCTTTAATTCACATATGTACACATTCTGTTGAAGTGTACTTACATTTTACTTAGCTAAAGAATTTGATATATATATATATATATATATATATATATATAATTGCACTGTTTCTACGCTGTTACTAGTTTGATAATACCTAATGTAAAACCCTTTTTTTAAGTTCTATCGTTGATAGTTTTTACTTCTATTGAAACATTTAATTTTCATGTATCGTATATTATTAGAATTACCATTCTGGAGGTAGAGCTTATTGAGATCAATGCTGCTATGTGTTTCATATAACTCACTAAACATTTTATATTCACTAAACGATCAATATTCTGCAATTTCCATTTAATCACTCGAAAAATATTATTTATCAGATGCTAATAAACATGCTACAGAACTTAAATAAAACATAAATATCGAAGAATTGTCATCATCCGATGTTTTCTGTATATAAAAATGTAAGGGATATATGAGCGAGTATCAATGGTTGCCGTAGCTACTAATTTAGTGAATGATATGTTTATTTACATCTTGGAGATACGTTTACCAACGTGATTGCAATTAACTTTTCATGAAAAATATTAGCAAACAATGAAAACTAAACTTTAAAACGTTAGCTTTTAATCAACTCAAGATATTGTATATGTGAATTTGATCACATCGGTGTTATTCACATAATATCCAATTATAAAACCATGTACGAAGTATAGTATTGAAACTAACAATAACTGTTGAGTTTTGTCGATCAACAAATAAAAAATAAAGTCAACGTTATAAGTTCAAAAAATATCACCTGAACCTTATTAGTTTATACATAAAATTTATTAATCATTTTTACATACACCTTAAAAGTAATTACAACCTTTATTAAAACAGAAATACCATATATCTTCTATTTATATTATTCTGATAAAATAATTTGTCAGATAATTTGAAAAACAAGTACGCAAACTAACGTGAATATAATATTCTCTTATATATATATTCTTTGGATACTTATTGTTATTCATTTGCTTTACAAGGAAGTCAGTTATTAATATCAGAAGGGGTTTTGTGGATATTATAGTAATTTTACTAGTTGAGATCGTGAGTCACTTAAAGCTAATCCATCATTGAGAACATGAAAGCACTAGACGGCCGTTTCGTCCTATTGTGGGACTCAGCAGCAGTGCACATCCACGATCCCGCTCCCCGCGAGATTCGAACCCAGGGCCTTAGATCTCGCGCGCGAACGCATAATCTACTAGACCACTGAGCTGGCATCCAACAGTGTTAATGTCTAACCTCAACCGATCCACGAAATTGCGCGACCATCTTCCATTGTACTGAGGTAAATACCTGTCTCTACCCAACACGGATTAGCTCCACTGGTCACGGCTTCTCACTAGAACTCCGAGAATTCCCTCACGAATCTAGTCACTAGTGAGTACATGTTCATTATCAGTATGTTAGTCACTAACATCATTGGATGCCGGCCGACTCAGTGGTCCAGTAGGTTGTGTTCGTGCGCAAGACTGAGGGCCTTTGGTTCGAGTCCTGAGAGGGGGATCGTGGATGAGCACTGTTGAGTAGTCCCACAGTAGGACGAAACGGCTGTTCAGTGATTCCAGTTTTCGAATGGTGGTCTAACATCAATCGGCTCGTGATCTCAATCAAAATTATTATTGTTATTTGAAATTTATGTTTATCATTAAGATACTTATCATCATCACCGAGCATTGGTTACGAATTTTTTGTAGTTTATTTTGTATGACATAGAAATTTTCGGCTTACATAGAAATTATATGCACTTAATTTTTAGTAATTTTCTAATGTCACAATAGTTGACAGCTAGAATCAATATAACGAAATAAATTAAGTTCCGCTTCTGCGTGATCTGTAAAAAGTACGATACCACTCGTTTTGACAAAACTCGGAATCTGCCCAGATTGATTTAATGTTGTTATATGTACTTATATAAAGATTATTGTGTTTAGAAAAGAGCCTGATGAGGATCTAATTGGAAAGAAGATTGTTCGATTATATGCCGCTCTAATTTGCACAGTCAAAATTTTTTATAAAAAAACGATCAATCGAGCACAGTAACATTAAATATTTAAAAATAATTGTTATTTATATTTAAAGGTTGAATCAGAGATTACTAAAAAATTTTATAGAAACTAGACGGCGAAAAACAATTATGGAATTGGAATGAGTAACGTGGTGAAATATGTATTCAATAAGGGTATGAAAATAACATTCAACTACTGATGATCATCAACGGTGATTGGATCAGAAGTATGATTACTGAACATGATAATGCCATCAAACAACAGACCACTAGAAGGTCAACGTAACTCTTATCAGGATCAGATAGCCGTTTAACGCTTTCTGATTTCAAATAGCTATCTATATGAGATTAGCTCATGATGTGAAACTGCAAAAAGAACACTCTCAACAAACCTTTTTACTAAAATTATTTTATTTCTAATTTTACTGATGATTTATATAAAGTGTTGACGTTTATTTTACACTTGACACCGCTGACTGGACATAGTTAAATAACTATTGGAAACCGGAAAACATTTGACAGGCCTCCTCTCTTTAGTAGTGCACAATCCATAACCTCGTCGAGCTTTCCATCTTTTGTAGGAACATGGATGTAGATTGCTGAAGAGTCCATTACTATTAGATAACAGATGTATAGTGTTTCCTGATTTTCAATGCTTAGGACTTTGAATCAACTAATTTCTATAAAGATTACGAAATTAGTCAACCTTTCAGTTTTAGATCACTTCTGCTTCATTCCCTTTCATATTTCTTAGATTTATCCTCAAATGACCTTGTATATATATATATAGCTTTTATTATCAATTAGTAAATCATTGTTGAAACTTTACCAACCCTTATAAATTTATATTATTCTACTTCACCTGTTACTTTTTGTTTTATATTAAAAAAAATTGGTTAAATATTGAAAATTCAATGTAAGCGGGGGCGCAACTTCGTGGATTGGTTGAAGTTAGATATTAACACCGTTTGATGCCGATCAACTCAGTGGTCTAATGGTAAGGCGCTCGCGCGCGAGAATGATAGGTCCTGGGACACCTTTTTCGCTTCATTTTAATATAAAAAAAAAATCTTGATTTAATTATGATAATTTCATAATTGAAATTTTCATTTCTTTGAGATTTATCCCTTTTCCTAAGTATTATCTATTGTGTGAGTAGTTGATTAAATTTCTGTGATGATTATGTGCATAGGTCTTAAAAATAAATCAGTGAAAATTTATGGTTAGAAAAGTACACATTTGTACTATTTCATATACTTATAATAGTAATAACAATAGTCGAGTTCTTAGAAACATTAGTTAAAAATGGGAGAATTTAGATATTATGATTTGATAACTGATACCGGTGATGTAGGTAACTAAAATGAAAATATTGGACAATATGCATGCTTCCCATAATTTCAGTCATATTTAATCCTTTGTTCTTATTTCAAAGTTTCACTTCCAACAAACCTGTCGTTATACTGGTATAATGTCTATTATTGCATGTATATGTGTGTATATACGTACGCGATAAATAATACATCTGTCTGCATCCACTTCTAAGTTGTACTTGGTTTTATAATCAAAATTTCTTTGAAGATAAGCACGATGAACATTTCATATTTATTTTTATTCTTTACAAAAAATCTTACTCATTCAAAGGTATATTTAATGATATGATTGAATCTAACTGGGCAATTTCGGAACAAAGGTTTGTATTTTTTTAATCCAAATCTTTTCTAATGAAAATTTTTACTTTTATGTTTAAGATTTCATTCATGATAGAATTTTCGTGCAGCAAAATATAATTTCCTTAAATTGATGGCATTTTAACCTGTGGATATTCATTCTCATCAGGCGTCATTATAGAAGCTCTCCTTTACATGGGTAACATTTTGTATTACTAACCAATATTGGCTGTAGAACAGCAGAAAACCCTTAGGTGCTGGATTTTTTTTTATAAAAAAGCACTCCACCAACCAACTATACAGATAATAATTGTAGTCTCACTAGTGATTTAATATGATGTAGATTGCTTGAAGTTCTAGTGAGAGATTATAGAGTCCTGAACATTTAATTATGATAGCAATGATAAACTAAAATGCTTATGATTTGATCAAAAAAGTTAAAAGCACGCATAGCTGAATTTCAAGCTAAAGACTTAAAGGTACCGTGCTGATATCAGGACCCTGAGTTTTATGGAAGTAAATAATTGAAGATTAAGAATTATTACAAAATGTTTTTGGTGTATAAGATTGTGTGGCGAGAATCTAACTTATGGACGAGTCAATCAGAACTGTTTGAGAAATTTAGAGGTTACGGCGCCAACTTCGGTACTTAATGCTAACGTACGTTCGGATCACACGGAATTTTGTACAAAACGTGATAATTGAGCAGTTATAACAAATAAAACGACGAGACTATAATTTGTGGACGAATCAGTCATGTATAAGATAATAGATCTCGGATTTTGGCACAAAAGTCTTTCATCCATTTGGCTAAATAAATTTCTGGCATTATAGCTGATGTCAGCTCGTGATGAAAACCCTATATGTAATTCCTAATTAAGGCAAATTACGACAATTATCGCGAACTGGATAATAAAAGCACCAGTCACACTGGCTGCAGCCAGGTACTACAATATATACGGATGTTTTGAGAGCGTACACACTCCTACATAGGCTTGGTTATGTGCATCGTGTCGTTATCCACAAGTAGCAGTTTGTGCACTCAACAACCGGAGTGCACGTAAACAGTACTGAAACTGTGTGGTCCAGACTGAAAGAGTTTTTGAGAGTTTACCATGGCTCCAGAGGCTGACTATTCTGTAGCCATATGGATGACTTCCTCTACTGCATGCATTACGATTTTAGAACCTCTGAACCTCTTTCTAACCTTGACAAGTTTCTGAATCACGTATAAGAAGTGTATCCACTTTATTTCCTTGGTTTTATATAAAATCTTTTCACTCTATATTTACTGTTTATTGATTGGCTAATATTTGTTAAGCTCACTTAAGATTTGTTCAAAGGTCATCCATAAATTAGAGTCTCACTGATTGTGTAAATTGTTGAATAGCATAATTCTACATCTCAAACTGATCTTATTTAGGCAAATGGTGTTTAATCCTAAAAAAAAACTCTCTTGTACACTTTAATATTCAACAGACCAATTGTATAATGTCACAGAAAAATTGAATTTATCAATTCATAATAATAATAATAATAATAAAAACTATTCACCTTGACAAACAGATTCTATTCCATTTTAAATTGAATATTTGACAATGGTATTTTTACAAAATTAATAATGATCTATTTCGTTGTAAATGATATAAACTCAATTGAACTGAGACTAGTTAGTTACTTTTTTTTAATTTTACTTCGAAGAATTCTAAGAACAAATTTACTTTGATTCATAAAAGAAAGTCAATGAAGTGGAAATAAATTTTTTTTAAAAAAAACACTGAATATGGAAGAAGTAAAACAGGTTTTCAGTGGATCAATAGCTCAATTTATTTCAGAATCCAGTGAAATTTCATTGTTATTCATTTGTTCTTATGTTTTATTTTGCGGGCGGGGGGGGATTTTTTCAAAATTAGAAGACAACCAAACAAATGAATAATTTATTGTTTTCAAAATAGTAACAAACCCATGAACTGAATCCTGTTGTTAATTCATCAATGAATTATTTTGTATGTCTACTATGACATAATAACCATATATAACATCAACTCCTGACTAAATAATATTATTTTTATTAGTATATACACACGCATTTAATTGACCAATCTATAAATATTGTCGTAATTTCGTAGCTTCATCGAAAAAAGCCATTATGGATTATTGAAAACTGTCTAGATTATTGTTTAAAATGAGAAATGTTCTCAATCAATTTGTCGAGAATTGAAATAGATAAACAAATCTATATTTATACTCAGTTGACAGGGTAGCAGCATATGCATATATATATACATATATATATATATACAAATATAAATTTACACACGTTGTTATAGAAGAGATGAAGTCAAGCAACCTGAAAATGTATACATCATTTCGAAAACCAATTAAAATAGAGAAATCAATTCTGATGATAATACTTACTCATTTCTGATACAATTTAACTGCACACGTAATTTTGGTTCGATTTGTACTTGTATTTCTTGCAATTGAAGTACTTGTCGTTCTAAGCTGTCCAGTGAATGAGCCAATGGTTCACATGCTTCATAAAAAGACTACAGTACATAAAATTACATTTGATATATGATTAAAATATTTGTTTTTCAGTGCAATAATTTAGTTTTTAATGATTAAAAACATGTAGGAAATAATGAACAAAACAGATGATTAGCGATCTTACAATAGATCAGTTTATTCTATTCCATAAATCTTGTTATGTTTTGTTCAAAAGTACCCTTTAAAAAAACTGAACGTGTGTCACACCAACGAACAATACCAATATGGTGGAAAGATAGATGAGGAGTTATTTGCTAGTCCGTTGTTTAAAATTAATCGTCTATTTCTTATTGTTGAACATAGATCTAGTTAGTCAACTTAATAATGTATTCACTGAATTGAAAAAAAGTTACCTCAATTCATACTACATCAGTGGTTAAAGTGAGCTGTCTTACAATAATTGTTTTATTAAAATTGATAGTTATTCTCTTGAAATAAGCTCTACTTCTAGAAATATCATCAAATTCGCATTCTTGACTTCAACATTTATAGCATTGAGAGTGATAAAACTAACCATTAAATAATCATTGGTTTTCGAAGTTACATACACACAATGCGTGAACTTCAGAGAGGCTTTTTTCAGTTTCAGTATTTTTTAAGAGATTACATTGAATTATGTACATTAGGTGCTAAAAAATCAATATTAAACTACTGACTGGAAAAAACATCCATTAATAATCACAAGTGATTGATCACTGGGTGGTGACCAATGTCATGTGTGTCAAACCCTTCTTAGTGCAGATGGAATGCTATCGACCAAGTTGAAATGTGACCACCAGTCTAGGTGACTCGACATTGCAAGCACTATGTTGAGATAAGATAGTGATTAGAGGTAGTCAACAGGAAACCCTGGACCCGGGTATCGTGCTACTTGGCACATATCAGCAAGGTGTACCTGTAATCTTGGAAGAACTGCTGCTCCCTGAAGGATTTGATCCCATGTCACCCAGCTTCACAGTCAGAGACGTTACCAATGGGCGAGCGACCTCCTGTAGGACTGAGATGTAATCACAACTGATTGATCACGGGCTGGTGACTAATGTCATGTATGTCACAAAAAAATGAAAATGTTTATTTATTTATGGTTTGTAAATTTATTAATTGTTCTTTCTTTTCTTCCTTTTTTTCACTTTTCAAGAAATAAAAAAGCTAATAAAAATTAATGATTTATTTTATTCGGATTAAATAAAATTAATAACTAAATTGAACTTATAAAATTTGACCTATAAGACCTTAACAATAAATAAATCAATTTAAACAATAAATATTCTTATTATTTTTTTGTTTGTTCATTATTATTATTATTTAATTAATTTATTAATTTTTCAGGTCATAATCAACTTAATTTGTTTGTTGTTTTTTTGTTGCAAATACTTTATGACAGGTAGTTTTGCACCAAAATGTACTGCTATTGAATTAGTAACACTAATCAACCACCACCAACAACAAAAAGTCTCTTCTATGACTATTTTTTATTGAAAGTTCCTTAGTTTATTTGTTAGAATAGTTTAAAATTAATTAAATTTATTTTCATTGCGTGTACAATTTATAATAATTATTTTTACAAAGGTTAATCAAATTCACTTGGTGTTGTTTTACATCTATATTCCCATTATTATCTAGGACTGCAGTCAATCAATCTCATGTTGGCATATGTGCATCCTGTTCAGATTGCTTTAATATAGCCCTAAGTCACAAGCTATTTAAGCGAAGATGGATAGTTGCTGGCGGTGGAATCCAGTTTGACGCGCGTTTCGTCCCATTTGTGACTCGTCAGTTCGACGTACCTGCATCCCAGAGTTAGTGTTGACAGTTCGGTATATCTGATTCTAACAGAATTATTGAAATATATCCTGTACATTCTTGAATGAATAGGATATCAATTAAGGTGGTAGATATACACTATTGTGCAGTCCTAAACTATATTTAGACAACTATCTAATGTATTCTGGTTTTTACATAGTTGTTTTATTGATACCATTTCATGATGTATATTACTTTCAAATGTTTCAAATGTGTTTAATTAAATCAACTTTCATGAGATTGAATTTTACACAAACATTGATTTACACAAAATAAATAGAAACATTTGATATGATTATTTAGAAAACAAGATTTTCGATAAGACATATTTGAATGAAATGAATTACTCCTCTCATTTGTTATAATAGTAATAAGTATAATCAGTTTTTATATTCGTCATGTAATGAATTGATGTAAACAAATGACTAGAAGAATCACTTTGTACTCGATATCTAATTTATTCTTGTCTTAAACATATGAACTATAGTTGATAGTGATCTTATGGGTTAAGGAACTTAAAATCAAAAGGGTTAACTATGATTGAGTTATTGACGGAGCATAACATGCTGTATTTTCGACGATGATTTAAAATACACAGTTTACTAATGAAATACATTTAGTTACGTGGTATGGTATTCTATTACAGTATCAGTACAGTGTTAGTTTTTAAAAGTTAAGTTGTTATGTGCACAAAACTAATATGTCATTTATTAACAATAATCTTAAATATTTATAGTTTGTTACATTTAGAAAGAATAGAAATAAGTAAATGAATGACGTTGACATTTCTAGTTTATAGATTTGTAATAACTACCAATTGACATGAATTCAAATAAATATTCTTTCCTCTAACAGTAAATTTGATTTACAAGAAGTAGAGAGAACCTGAAGATTGCGAAGGATAGATACTAACAACTAATAGAATACATTCAAGTTAACTGAAGGTTACGTAAACTGTTTTTAGTGATATCATAATCTTTATTATTATGACAATTTTGAAGATTGTATCTTTTTATAGTATTACAGTTCTGAGTTGAACTTTTTAATTTACTAATGGTAATTGATAAACTGTGAAAGATGAATAGTTTAATTAGATATACCGAATACTAGATGATGATCAATATCATAAAGTCTAATCTTAAATGGTATTTTAATCATATCTATCTACCCCATATTATTAATACTTGGTTGGGTAACTCTGATCTATATTGAATGATAAAAAATCACTGTTGTTATGTGTATGGGGATGACTTTTCAATGGATAAACTATTTGATATACGAGAACATAGAGTAAATTATTAATGTTGAGCAAATCCAATTGAATGTGTCATGCTTATCAGATTCTTAAATGATATTTGTGTATTTTTATGGATCAGTGTATATCAATGAGAAAAAAAAAGTTGGTCATTATTGAATTGAATTTATTCAGTCGTAAAGAATGGAATATGTATGTTATGTTAATGAAACAACAATAACTACCTAATTTATATCGGTTTGTTAAAAACGTTTCTAACTCATTCAACAAAGTACTGATGGTCAGCCGGATTTATTTTTTTCTAAATCACTATATTTTATCGAACAAAGATAGTGAACACAAGTGAAAGAATATTCAAGGCTTATGACTCGACAGTTCTATTGTCTTTAGTGAGATCACTGATTAACTAATTAATGTACGAAAAAAAGATTCTTAAAATAGGAGTTAAATATATTCATCTACTTAACTACTTTCAGTTACACAGCGCTTGGTAGATTAAGAATACTTTTTAGATTATCGTGTTCTTGTTATACATCTTCTATGAACACTTCTAAATTTTATTCAATCCATGAATTTGAAAATGACTACTATCACAATCTTGAGTCATTTAAAGAAATACTTGAAAAGAGAGAACATCATTGTTTATTACCCCATCTCAGTAACATGATTTTCAGAATCAAAATCGTATGCAGTACCTTATTATAAATCAGTGTTATAGTTTTGCAATTCCTTTCATTCCATCAATATTTTATGATTGTCTTACAATGATGATATTATGGTTTAAATAGATCTTAAAAGGTTAGTGTTTTCATTGAGTGGAATGTTACGTTAGATGCAAACACTGAACACTACATTTATTCTCTTATCAATTGCAATAAAGAAGTCTGAAAATATGTTTGTCAACTAGTTAAATAACATCAATCCTCATTTTTCAAAATTTTAGTTTACATTTAAGTTGATTATTATAATTGTCGTAAATAAAAATCAACTAACCTTTGTTTGATCTAATTCAGTTTTTATATGTTCACTTGGTAAAAACTCTATAGGGATCCATTTCAATGTTACAGATTCAGCACTTTTCACTTGAGCTACAGCATCATTTAACAATGAATTAAAATTGGATAGACGCTAATTTTGTTTATTCAAAGTAGAAAAGGTAAATTAAAAAAAGGGAGGAAATTTATATTCCATTGAATTATTTCAAATATATTTATATACTAAAAAGTAAAAAGAAAACATTTACCATATAAAATATTAGAAAATGCAGTTAGGTTTACTTGTACAATAGTGGTTATGATAACCAATTCAATATTTGAACTAAGGTATGTTAATGTAATCTAAAATACTGATAACTATCAATAACTTAACAGTATATGATATTTTATGTATTTGTTCGATAGACGGTTACTTTTCGAAAATAATTATTTTCGAATGGAGATTGTTTAAAAAAATGACTGGCTACAATAATATATATATATATATATATATATATATATATATATATATATATATATATAGTAATAGCTAAAGGGTAGAAACTACAATTTAACAATGTACTTTCAGATAAAATTTTACCTAGAACATTTGAATTTTTTTTGATGAAGTTTTGTCCTCCGAGCTGGATGGTTTGATCCAGCTCAGGGAACAAAACTATCAAAATCATCCACCTGAGCTACAAATCTCCATTATTTGAATTTTTTATATGTTCTAGTCTAATGTTAGCTAGAATTTCATAGTTATGAAAAAAAAAAAACTAAAAAGAAACAACTATGGAATAAAGTGAGATTTTGAATAAAACGTTTTGTAGTTAAACCTCGTATACAAATTCTCAAAAGAACTTTTTTTCAGGGTTTTTTATACATATAGTTCCTTTTATCATTTTGAAAAGAGTAAGAACAAAGATTCTGACCCAATAGTATGAAATCATCTTATATCGTTCGTTCTCGTCAGCTGCTTACAACCTGTGATATTTAAAATCATGATTACATAATGAGTTTAAATTACTTACGTGACAGAGTTTGGTTGGAAGTTATATTGAAGACATATTCGTATAGTGTAGCAAGGGTATACATAAATTTAACAGACTGAATATTGTAAAAATATACCCTATGTAAAAGAATATTTTACAACGTTGATTGTGACAACAGTTCAAAGTGCCAGAAACAAGTGTGGGTTATTAATCTTGCCTTGGTGACAAATATTCCTTCGTTACATCTTAAACTTTTTAAAATTCTTTTTCGCATTCATTACATCATCGACTTTTATTTCAACTAACTTCCAGACTAGCAATTTTATTTTATTAACTAAGCTTTACGCACTCTATTTCTATCAATGTTTACTCATTATGTAATCACTTGTTTCTAACCGTTTGAACTGTTGTCACAATTAATGCTGTAAAATTTTCTTTTACATAAGTTATGTATTTACAATATTCAATCAAGTAAATTTATTTACACCCTTGCCATACTAATATCTCATCAGCATAACTTCCAACTAAACGCTTCGATGTATGAAATTTAAACTCACTTTGTAATTATGATTTTTAAACATCACAGATTGTAAGCAGTTGACGAAAACCAACGAAATAAAATGAATTCATGCAATTCTGTTAGAATCTTTAATCTTACTCTTTTCACCTTCTTTGTTTGTTTAATGAAAGTGGGTATTAAAAAAAATACCTTTCAAATTACACCATTGTTGAATTTTCTCAGTTTTTTTATCTCGAACTTTTTTAGATAGAATTCAAAGATTCTAATTAATTTTCTTAAAATATTTATTGCCAACTACTTTTTTTTACCATACAACAAAAACTAAATATCTAAAATGGATTGTTTTATTTTTATTTCACTCATAACCGCTATTTCGTACTTACTAAGAACGTGTACAGTATATTTTTAGAGAATACTGAATGTTTTTAGAAGTGTAATATATGTCATTCAAAAAATTCCTTTCAGTTTTGATTGACAAACATGGTAAATACTCCAGATACATAGTTAACACATAATGTCAATTTAGGAGTTGTGGAGATTGTTAAGATTTTGATCGAAATCATGAGTCAATTCAAGCTAGAAAACCATGGAAAAACTGGTAGAAACAGGTGTCTACCTCAGTACAATGGAAGATCGTCGCACAATTTCGTGGATTGGTTGAGGTTAGACATTAACATCACTGGCCCAGTGGTCTAGTTGGTTAAGCGCCTGGCGCGAGACTGATAGGTCCTGAGTTCGAATCTCGCGAGGCGGAATCGTGGATGCTCACTGCTGAGAAGTCCCATACTAGGATGAAACGGCCGTCCAGTGCTTCCAGGTTTTCCTTGGTGGTCTAGCTTCAATCGACTCGTGATTTTAATCAAAAACATAATGTCAAAATAAAATCTATCTGTTCAAAAGATTTAGACTTGGAAATCTTAAATTCAAAAGCTTATTATAATTTTTTTTAAATGTTTACTAAAATCAATCGATCAAACAGTCTTATTTACTGTCATTGTCATAATGTCGTCTATACTTAACATGGATTAAACATAAATCCATTAGTTATACATAAAATCAATTCATGTTAGACAATAAGTTGTAATCCAAAACTAGAAACTGTATCTAAGATAATATTTGAACTATCCAATTAATACATAATTAAAAATAATAATAATAAGAAATTCATCGTAAACGTAACTTACCTCCCATATACCATCAAGTTGACATTTAAAATCTAACATATTATTATTTAAATTTAACCATTTTTTCTTTAAATGATATAAATGACGTGTTATACGACGATTAGTTCGTAAATTACAATCTTCTATATTATTTTTACATCCTGAATCAGATAAATCTGAATCAATTTCTGTTTCACGTTCATTTGAAACATTTAATTTATTTTGATTTATATTATCATGTTGTGTATTATGATGGCATAAAATTTCTTCAATTTGTAAACGATTTGTATTAAGTTCTTGAAATAAACCCTTTTTTTAACAAAAAAGAAAAAAGAAATCCTATATAATATTAAGTATATGAATAATGTGAGAAAGTTTTCGCATATACTATATCATTTAATGTACTAATAAAAACTCCGATTTATTGGTAATTACATAATCATAGCAACCGGATATTACTAATTTATAACTTCATATTATAATTCAATCCAAAAATATTTAAATTTTTCTAAAAATTAATAGAATCTTCAGACTTATGTGTTGATTGTTTATCACTTAATTATTATTGAAATTTACCATATAATACAATGATTTCAATATTTAAAATAATTAGTCCCTTTGATAAATTTCGATAATGCAATGAGAAGACGAAGTTTATCAGAATTCATGAGCTTGAATAAGAACATAATACAAAATTTTGTGTTCTTAAACAAAAAATAAATAAAAAAACTTATTTCAATTAAAATAGACTGTGTACAAGAAATCAGTAGTTTACTTTAAAATCAAAGAACATAAATTGAAATGTTATTAATCAATGGAAAATAAATAAATAAATATAGAACTTCAATGGTTAAGATCATGAGTCAGTCGAAGCTGGACCACCATGGAAAACCTGGGAGCACTGGACGGCCGTTTGTTCTTCTCAGCAGTGCGCATCCACGATTCCGAACCCTGCGAGATTCGACCCCAGGACATATCAGACTCGCGCCAGGCGCTTAATCAACTAGACCACTGAGCCGGCATCCAAGGGTGGTAATGCCTGACTTCAACTAAAATATAGAACTCAATAAAAGGGACCATTTTTTTAACACGTTGATTAACCTTAGTGCAGTAATTCATGTTTTTTTATTGAAATATTGAAATTAACTTAAGTACTTATTAAGTAAATGATTCATTTTTAAAATAGGTTTCTTATTAAGTTTAAAGGATCATTTAAAGAATGATAATATAATGAGTAAATATTGAGTTTGTGTTTATGATTTTTTATTTATTCATTAGAAATGTTACCAAAAAAAATTCATGCGTTAATTGAAGCTTGACCATCATCCTAGTATGGGACTCCTCAGAATGCAGGACCTATCGATCTCGCGTGCAAACGCTCAACATCTAGACCTCTGAGCCGGTATCCAACGGTGTTAATGTTCAACTTCAACCAATCCACGAAATCGCTCAACCGTCCGCCATTGTCTTCAGTGATTTAATAACTCACAACAGACCTGGTTGAACTATACTGGTCACGGTTTCTCACTAGAATTCTAGGAAATACCTCATGGAGACCAACACCAATGAGTATATAATGATTATAGTTAGAGAGGGGTCTTGTGGATACTACCATGGAAAACCCTTCTCTGATTAATAAATTATTCTGGAAAACTGATAGATTTTACGTTGAATTTCTTACAAAATTAAAATTAAGTGCATTGAAATGAAAAGCCTTATATAAAAATAAATGACTTTTCGTTAATTTAATCGTGTTTTATAAAGACAATAGATTAGTCTATTTATTTAGTTTTGTATGCTTGAAATTTGTTCAGAGGTGTATGATACATAAAACTGATTGTATAAGTAATCTGTCTAGTGGATACATGAAATAAAGAGATGAAAATATGTTTTACAAGTTTCAGGCTACACCAACCTTATTTAGGCTAAATTACTCCCAACTTGTGACAATATGGCTGATTTATCGCAGATATTATTGTTCAGAATTTGCTTTTAATTCATCAAAGGCTATATTTTTCGCCTTCCATGTTTCATGTATGATAATTTTGAGTTCCAAGAATATAAGAGGATCTCTGAATAATAATCTTATTGAGTGGAGAAAGTGGCTTGATGTTATTATCGAAAGCTGTTGGCCATCCTAGCCTTAGAGTATTATTCAAATCTTTGTTCCTTTCACCGAAATGTCTGACTAATCTAAGTTTGACTGTTTTTCAATACGTTATCTTCATTAGACTTCATCAACGATTTGTTATTATTTTTATTATATTTCTCCAGGTTTTAATAAAAATTGTGATATCCAGTCATAAGTTCATCTATCTAGTTTCAGTAGAACATTTATAATGTTCATTGAATAAACCCAGTTTTTGATGCAACAAAATGTTTAAACCACTTGAGTCATTAAAAATGTATGAACTAAATAAAATGAAGGCATCTTCATTTAGTTTAATGACATAAGAGATTTCATTCGTTTATATATATGAACCAGAAAATTTAACAACCGAATATAATAATGAAAGAGAAAAGGAAAAATTTTCAACAAAATGAGAGTATAGTCATTTCTATCCGGTACATATACTGTTTATTAGTTTTATAATGTTCACGTAAGCAGTGAAATATAGTATATTTTTCCCGAAAAAGATGGACAAAACAAGTTATCTTAATATCTTTTATCGATTCATTGTCATATTTCCTACTGTTTACTTACTTACACCTGTTAATCCTCGTGGAGGAGCATAGGCTACTACAATACATATCAATATAATCATTATTACTACCATAACCATTACTCCTACAACTACTAATAATACTACTACAAGGTTTATTTTCGTGACATTCCTTGCTAGTCTTATTAGTTCATAATTTACCAATACAATCCAATTTAAAAAAATCTTTCTGTTCGATCAATCCTATTCACCATTGTTTTAATATGGTTTATGTTTCAAAATGAATAGTATATGCGTATGTAAAAAGACGATATGAAGGATACTGATGTACTATTTTTTAAAAGAAGTTTAATCTTTTTAACCAAACGTAACATAAATAAATGGGGGAAAAGTCATTTGTCTAATATTTTTTTCACCGTAATTTTTCAACTATTTACTGAGGGTAAATAAATGCTTTAACACAAAGTACTAGATAAGTTTCGAGTAAAATGATCATCTTTGTTAGACAATTTCTGAAAATATAACTATTTGAATTGTAGTTTACACTAAGAAAACCATCTAAAATCATGAAATACTTGGTTTTGTTTTCGAATAGTTTAACACTCTTCACTACTGTGTACTTAAGATAACATTTGTAATTGAGCCTGAGATATGAAAGTTTCATACCAAGCTGAATGTTACTGAACTATTAGGCTGGATTTCGATAATTCACATTTTAAACTTCAGTCAACTATTGATCCATTTATGACATAATGAGTACATTGTGATGACAATCGTTATCAACTACAAACTGATAACAGTTAATGTTGGACGATGTTCATAATACTCAAACATTTTTATGTACTAGTATCAACCACTACAGTATCTAATTGTAGGAAACACTGAATAATGAAGTAATTGGAATGGAGTTTTACACTGATCCCAGATAATTAAAACAAGTGACATAAACTTAGTAATATATATATATATATAATATATATATATATATATATATATATATATATATATATATATATATATATATATATATATATATATTAACGAACGTTAAAACTGCGGTAAGCGTTCAATAAAACTCAAAAAATTATCATGTACATTCTTTTGAAATAGCTTACCAATAACTTTTCTCTCAAGCTGATCACATTACCCATATCTCCTTGAATTGGTACAAGAATTTCATGAAATGCAGCATCTCTATGTGATAACCAATCATTTAATTTTTTTAATTTCGTTAAATATAAGTGTGACTGGTTAGAATTCAACTGCATCGTTCGTCTGTGAAATAGATTGGGAAGAAATGAATGTGAGAGTTATTTAACGATTTCTTTTATTCATTAGAAATGAAGAAATTGAAGAAATAATTCTGCATTTAAGGCGTCATGACCACTGAATTGCTACAAGATTGATTCTTATAATCCTAGCAAAGAGCTATGACATACGAAGTCAATCATGTTCGAAGTAAGATTCCAATTCATCGATTAGATTGATGAGTTATTTTTTAAATTTACTGACGTTGAGCTATTGAATCATTAAATTCAACTTTTGTTTTAATAATCTTATGCATTCACAAACATTTAATGGTAAGCCTTGTGTATGATCGTTTGTACACAAGCGTGAGAAAACCATAACTGTGTTGAAATACCTATCCAGTTATTCTAAAACTGATATAAGTGAATTATGGAAATGACCTTTTATATATACTTACATGTTATAGAATGTTCGTTGATAAGCTTATTATATTATCTCATCCATAATGAACTTAATTTTATTATGAATTGCAGACTACTTCATTCTCAACACAAGAAAGAACTTATTCGATTTTCCATTATATGCAATAATGCTGTGTGACTATTGCTCAAACGTTTTAAGTTATATAGTAATGATGTAAGAAAACAATAAAGTACCAATTAGATATTTAAACTGGAGATATGTTCATTAAAGTAAAATAATTTATTAAAGGAAAGATAATTTTCTTGGTAAACTAATATAACAGTAATGAATATAATTGCCAAAATTATTGTCTGTCAACGCATTAAATATGGTTACCTAATAAGGAAATGAAGGTTTCTCCATAAATCTTAGAATACCTATCATCGTTAACAAAAATTGACTTTCTACATCTAAAACCGTACAGAATCATTGTACTAGATGTACAATAGCATGGAAGTAACAGAAAGATAATGAAATCAGAATATGTAAACGAAATAATTTTTGACTCTGGCTGATATAAGCTAATGAATCATAGAAATACAGTGGACACTGAAGAGCTATTTCACAACAGTTTAGAATTCCTTAACAGAACACAATCACAACCCAAAATACGATTCAACACAGAATGATGGTAGTATTGACTTAAAAAAATTCATAATATCGATGACTGAATTTCCATTCAATCGTTTGAAAGCATCTTTATCATCGTATGACTTATCCAGCTCAGAGAACAAAACTCCATCAAAACCATCCACCTCAGCTACAAATCTTCTTCACCAACTTATAAGTTTTATCTTATATGACATCATCAACGCACACCGCTGAAAAGTTCAAAACTGAAATAAAGAAGTTGTTCAGTATACTTCAAAGTTCAATATATCTCTTGTTTAAATCACTCAGTGACAATAAAATATCTTCAAATATCATCCAAATAATAAATAAATTTTCAAAAATATATAACAGATCTTTTTCTAAAAAAATAATAAAACTTGAAAGTAAAGTCCAATATTCAAAAGAACAATGAGACTTGAATGTGCTCACGAACTAAAAATCTTTTATTTTTCAACTTTTGAAAAATGTAACAAAAAAACTAACTAAACGCAAGATTTATTTCGATATATTTTAAATTTAGAAACAAACACTTTGTTTGTCTATGTGAATGTCTTTGCTCATCAGGATACGCTCTTAATACTACTCTTACTACTACTACTGCTACTATTAATACTGTGGTGCATGCTACTTATATTCACATAAGTAGGATATAACACAAGTCAGGAATGTAATGTCTGGCAGCAGAAGAATGGGGAAGATCAAGTAAGGAAGAACAGGGATAGAGAGTAATTAGTATAGAAATGCAAGAACAATGAAGTTCGAAACAATTATTGAACACTTTGTAAATTAGGTATTATAGTATGGTTTTTCTATTTTACCAAGTAACTCTGTAATGTTGTGCTAAATATAATTCGGTGGTCCTAACTTGTGTTCCCCTTCACTACAATACTATTACTACTATTACTAAACTACTACTACTACTACTACTACTAATACTAATACTACTAATAATAATGATGTATATAGTTGATAACTAACCGTTTAATATCATTGTCTTATTGACATTTTAAGAATATATGTCACTGTTCTGCGTAGTTTGAATACAATGTTTATAAAGCATATATATATATGCCACCTCGTCTTAGTAAAGTTATTTACAAAAATATTCGAAAATCAGTCAAGAAATTTCATTATCATAATTATATTTTCTGACTGTTATAAAGTGTTAGTGCATATTGATGTGTATCGTTATAACAATTATAAATCCATACATATAAACAGATATACAAGCAAACTTTAATACTTTTCTTGTCTAAATGCATTAAAACGCAAATTGTCAATTCAACAGCAAAAACAACAACAAAAAAGATCACGAGAATAAATTGTGAGCATTGACTTTAAATAAATGTAAAACAAAATAAAGACATGAAGAATAATTAGAAATTCTTCTACAACCTTTTATTTACGGTTAGTTGATAAATTGTAAAATAAAAGTAAGGTTAGAAAAGGAATGGATTTTTTATGTTAACAAATGATCACTACAAATCATATCAAGAATTTATTTAATCGTACGGATATAAATATATTTACACTAGACCAGGTAATTCAGTATTACAGCCCACTTAGTTATTAATGTTGGATAAATACAACATTGGATTGAATGTCCGTGTGCTTTATGTTAGTTTGTTCCCTTCATTTCTGAAGGAATTCATACACTCATGTGGTTAAATCACGAATTAGGATGTCAGCCTCTTCCTAGCAATGAAGTGATGATACTTCTGATTAGAACACCAGGGGATATGGATTCGTATCTAATCAACAGCATCTATCCCTTCAATATTGATGATATTGAATCCTGACGCGTATCAGCTAGAACGAGACCTATGCTTACGGATCCCCTGTTCTATATCTTCAATCAATTAAAAAATAATGGGTGAAGAAATATTGGGAGTATGTGAATAAATGATCGTTGTTTTACTATCGGTAGTGTTGTTTAAAAGAATAATACAAGTCATCTTTGAATGAAGATTTAAGCTGTCTGATTTTAGGGTTTGAATTTCACTTTTAATCCTATTTTTTATAGAAATCTGATAGCCTCCGTAGGATTTAAAAAAATAGATGTGGCTACATGTCGATTTTATATAAAACACCATTTATCACATAAAAATTAGGCTTTATTTTTTAATTGGTTATGCATAAAAATATCGTTTATATAAGAAACTAACGAGTTTTCAATTGACACTATGATGTTTAAACAAACAAACTTTGAAATATTTATGAAACAATAGTTTGAAACTGTTGAGAATTGAGTACTTGAGACACCATCATCTCAGTCAACACATAAAATACGATAAATATTCCACATTGAAGCGATTAAAACCCAATAGTACGACATCAGCTGTACTTCTGATTAGTATAAGTACAGAAGAAAAGGTTATTATTGAGTTAAAAGATGATACCAGTGCTGTGAAGAAGTTTAGAAAAGTTGGAAACTTAATTTGAACAAGAGCATAAATACGTTGATGTGTGACATTTACCGAATTATTCTATGGAGACAGTATATAAAGCGGATGGTATGATTGGGTACAAAGTAATCAACAAACAGTTCGAAACTACATCGTTAAAACTGACTGAAACCCTTGCGATTAGAAGGCTTAAACATGAACTTTGTACTCAAAAGGTGTATGAAGTTATCCTTCATTGTACTTGGTAACCAAAGTATTTAGACGTTTTTTTCCAATTTTATCATTCAGTTATTTATAATCATAACCTAGGGAGTAAGGATTATATCCACTTCATTGTTAAACTTCTTAGATTTCTTGTAAAATTATATAATAAGTTGTTCGCAAATATTCTAAATATCGTTGAAGTCAGAATTTACTTTGTATTGTTCGTTTGAATATTTCCATTGATGTTTAGGATTTAAATTGATCAGTCACTTATCTGTACATGTGCATCCTGTGAGGACTGCATCGATATTGTCTTAAGTCATCAGCATTATCGGGACTCAGTAACTAAGTCGATAACGTGGTGGTGTTTGACTCCAACTATACTGGGTTCAAATCCCAGAGTGAGGATGAACTCTGAGATGCAGGTACATCCAGTCGATGAGTGCCGAATAGGACGAAACGCGCGTCCTCGATTCTACTGCTAGCCACTATCCATCTTAACTTACAATGCTTGTGAATTAAGGCAATATCGTGGCAATACGAACAGTGTGCACGTATGTCAATAAGAGACTAATTAATTTCAGTCCTAAACATCAATGGGAAGATTTAAGTAAACAGTACCAAGTGAATTTATGCATCACACTGTTTTAATAATGCTGTCATTTACGTAACTGAGTGCTCAACCCATCAGGTGAATAGATTTTAACATTAATATAATGGCTGTCTTCGAACTTTGGGGATTTTGGAGGTTCTGGCAAAAAGTCATTATTTATTTGACAATTCATAGTAATAACATACAACTTTTCCAATTTATAGATTTGAATAAACAGAGAACAAATGTCATAGCAGAAAAATATGAACTCATTTATTTCGTGGATCCTCCTCAGCTGCTTACAATCTGAAACCACAGTACTAACCATTAAAACGAAATACATGTACATAATTTATATCAGTGGTGTTGGAAAACCCTGATTCTCAACCAATGATGCACATAGGTTCAAGGATCCTGAAGGAACAAATGGTGTATGAACCTATTGTTGATCACCGGCTACCATGGTACTGCATCTCCTAACGTTGCTTTTCTGTCTTGTTGATTAGACTTTTATGTGAAAGACTCGGGATACGGTCCCTTAAGAAAACTACCTTCTTCGGTTTAGGCGCTCAGGTAGTATGACAGCCCTCACACAAATTAATGATAACTACTACTGGCCTCACTGTTATTGTATGGCACATATGTACTCGATACCACCCTGACCCTAGCTGCTACCTTGACGTGGTGGTCCTCCTTGCCTATCGCGATGACCCAACCGAGCTATATTGTCTGGAACATATGTTCGTGCAGGTTCTATCATGCCAGGCAGGTTGATTGGAGAACGGTAAGACTAAAAGTAGCAGCACAAGGTTTGGGAGCGAAGTCGTACTGCTGATTGTAGAAAGATGTGACAGCAGTAAGGTGCTTACCTCGGGCAACCAGTATCTGCAGCGATGCTGCCTTCTCACAAGGACGGAAGGGGTTTGAAAAGATAGGTCCTAAAAATGTCACGCCTAACTTTACCTCATGGATTTCCGTCTCTGACGGTAAGGCCCTTTGAAAAATGGAGCTAACATTTCAAAAATCTCCCACAAAAATGCCATGCGCGACCGGCCTCAAGCAGTTGTCCCTTTGGCTCTGCGGTCATGCTTCCAGGTCGTTGAGACCAACATTAATCCAACTTCCTTTTCAGGCTCCTCGAGAAACTCCCTTCCACGGTGTGGGCAGACGAGAAGTCGATCCCTCTGCTAAAACTGGACCACCATCCTTAAAAATCTCAGGAGTAAACGTTTCAGGGCCTGCTGCTCTCCCATGCTTCAGATTTTCTATAACTTTTACAACCTTGTAAAGAGTTGGACGACCTACATTAACTTGCCATTTAGGTCGTCTGAAGACCGTGGGAAACCGAAGTGTGACTGAAGGCCAGTTGAACTGATCCATAAAGTGTTCTGTCCATCGATCCAATCTTCTTGATTGAGAATGAATAATGTATCCATCTTTTTCCGTGATAATTTTGCTAACAACCGGGATCCGCGAGATTATAGCAACCGATGGTTAGAGACATTGAATGAGATGGTTCAAAATCGTTTGCAATGACGCAGGTGCATCCACTCTGTTTTGTCTCAAATTCTTTGTGTCCCCTTTTTTCTTTTTCCAAATTTATTTCACTGGATTATACTCCTAGAACAACATCTTCAAACCTTATTTTTTCTGATTACTGCTATGGGATTTGAAAAGACAACTGCATCTCTATGCTAATGTGGTATGGCAACACGAACAGATGTACGTACGAACAAAGTTCTATGTTTTTACTGACTGACTGACTTGATACCCCTTTGTATCAATGATTATGTTTTCAAATAAATGAATAAATGGCAACTGATGTGCTATGATAATTAAAGGTTACTGAATTGATAGTAAAGAGATTTAAAGTTTTACAGTGCGATCAAGAAAAAATATCCATCAAATACACGTCAATTAAAGATAATTCTATAGATGTTATTACATGATTATTGAAAACATCCTATAAGTCAATAAGATGTCTAAAAAAATATTGGCTATCTTACAAAAAATAAACAAGTTAATAGTTATTATCTAAATTCTTTTTACCATAAACTTACCGTAAATTAGCAATTTTATCTCTTAACTGACGTAAACGTCTGAAAAATTCTTGATTAGGCAAAACATTTAATGCTTGTGCTGAAGATTTTGCACTACTGGCTATTTGTGTAGCGATCATATTAATTTCTGCTTGTAGTGTCTTTAAAACAAAAAAATGAGGAAAATTAATGGACGAAAGTAAAGAAAATTATGACATCAAAGAGATTTATTTGTTAGGTATAATGCAATAGAATGTGTAACTAAGTATTTGATGGTAGTTTCTCTGATTCACCTTGTATAGGGCATGGTAGCCCGATCTACATGTATTTTTTAGAGCATCACTTATGACTATTATGTTACTTAAAACGTCGAACTGCTGTTCTTTTTAAGCTAACGAATCGTTTTTAATTGAGCATCAACATTAAGTTCTAGATATACGCATCTCACGAGCCTAAATCAAAACAAATCATGAAACCTAGGATACTACTGTTAGCTGAAATCTGTATATTGATTGTTTGTCACCTATTATAGGTAACTGATGTTCCTTTTTTGTTTTAATGATATGAAATTATTTAAATTCAGAAGGTCATTATCAAAATACAAATTAGATAATATCTCATCATGTATCAATTCACATTGTTTACTGTTCAGTATTGTGTATTTACAATTTTATTGTTGATTTAGTAACTCAAAATAGATTTGATCAAACACAGGATCATGTTGAATCATGACAATCTGATATTTCAGTAAACTTTTAAAAAAAGTTCTAGAATTAACATCTGGAAGTTTTATTTCATTTCGGATCATACGTTGCTATAAGATAATGAGGCATATGGATTAGATCTAAAATTTAATTTATTTGATTTCTCTATTTAGTTAATAAAATTCACATAGTGACAAATTTTCAAAAATCTTCAAGTTACTAAAATAATCTAATCAAAGTTTATATAGCGCATTATTTAAATGTTCTCATTTGGCAGAACTTATACTGAATGAGATCATGAATCGATCAACGTTAAACCACCACTGAAGACTTGGAAGCACTGGACGGCCGTTTCGTCTTAGTACGGGACTTTTCACTGGTGTGCATCCACAATCCCGCTCAATAGTAACTAGCTTCAATAGGCGATTGTCGGAATTCTAATGAGAAGCGATGACCAGTGGACCAAATCCATGTCGGGTGTGAAACAGTTACCTGTCGAAGACAATGAGAGATGATAGCTCAATTTAATGGATTGGTTAAAGTTTGACATTGGCATAGTTAAATGTCTGCTCAGTGATCTAGGGTTTAGGTGTTCGTGCACGAGACCGGATGTCCTGGGTTCGAGTGCCATGTGTAAGATCGTGGATGCACGCTGCTGACTCCCGTACTAGGACGAAACCACCGTTCATTGTTTCCGGGCTTTCAATGATGAATAAACATTGATCGATGCATGATCTCAATCAAAAACAGCAATCTCCACGACCCCATACTGAGAACTTATTCTATCAAACAAAGATCAATAAAAGAAAGTGTGATTGAGTATGATGTAGAAAAATATGATTAGGGATAGAAAATAGTCATAATTATGTGGATCATCTGTTTGTTAAGAAGTAGGCCATATTGATTTTTAATAGTATGAGATTTATCTATAGATATCTATTGATTTCAGTAACCTAAATAATGCACTATCATTCCTTCTTACTTAGTCTTACTGTTAGTGATAAATAAAATTGTATATTGTATAATATGACATCAATTATATCATTGTAATACAGTTAATCTCTTGTGCATTTGTTAGGTTATACAATAATCAATCGCTAACATCATCTGAATTCCATCTAAAGAGTTAGTTTTCATAGCATACATTCAAGTATGTAACGAATTAGATAGTAATACTGAAAGCGTAAAGAAGAGCGTTTTATAATTTCATAAAGTAAAAATACTTCATTATTTTAGTACGATTTTAGGAGGTAAAGTCATTAACAGTATTTATTTAAAACCACCAGAAAGAATGAATGGAACAAATTAACTTCCTAACTTGAGATTTCCGTTTTTGACGATAACTCTTATTCAATTTATGCAAACTTATCAATTCAGCTGCAAGGAGATGAGTTTCTTTTCTCATAACACGTGAATGCAAATCAAGCTGATTTTCTAAACAATAGATTTCATAACGAACTATTTTCTCCATACTAGGAAGTTATAAATAAATAATTCACATAAATTAGGAATGGTATATGGAATCGTGTCAAGCTCAGAAAGGCTACGAAACAATCAAGTAATCACTTGATGACAGATATTTTCTAACATCACCGATACTGTTTATTATTACCGTGACTGTTTAAACAGAAGGAATTGATACTTGTCATTAGTTAAGACGGCTGACGGTCACATAAAATGAATTTCCTGTAGTTGGAAACTTTTGGTTAGTTGTAGACCAGCTGACTAAAAATTGTATTGATTGACAACCTGAAAGTTTCTAACGGAAATCAACATGTGATAAAGAATAAACATTATTAGAAAGTCTCACTCTACAAAAAATAGATATCTACTACTGTTTGCTTTTCACATATGCCACAATGCTGTAGAATTTAATTGCAATTCCTTTCAAAAGTATACATTTCAAAGACAGATGAAGTTAGCAAATCTAATAAATGCTTTATGCATTGATTGACTTAGTCATGACAACTGCGGACACTCATTATATTGGAAAATGTGGAAATCTTAGACAGAGGAAACTCCAAAAACACCAGAGAATGTTTAGAAGCCTGGCACTCAGGTCAATCAGCAATCAACAAGCATATTGAAATCAATCCAATCTACCAACCAATCAGAAAAATCATGCACAAATATAGGAACAAAAATCAAACCAATGGGAGACACCACCAAAACCAAGAAGTAAACAATGACAAATTTAAGGTCAATGAGAACCATCGAGGTGCACAGAACAAGCTGTGAAACACATATGGAGAAATTCGAACACTTCACTTCTATCTGAAGTTTGTGCTGATGATGTCGTTCAGAAGAACGATGAAAGCTCCAGGACCAAACCATCCAGCTCAGAGAACAAAACTCCACCAAAATCATCCACCTGAGCTACAAATCTTCTCCACCATTTCAATAATTTAATATCCATCAGTTAGAAAAACAAGAAGCAAAACCAAACAACTCAAAAAGAATAGTGAACGTTTGCATCCGTCACCAATTCAACTGCTCCTATGGAGTTAGTTATATAGGCCGTACTCAGAGGGTTTTATCCTTGTGTGTTTGCAAACATGTGCCAGCATGATTGAGAAAAGGGGTTACTACAATACTCCTCTTTCTCATTTGGTAGATAGTGAACACCATACTAAAATAGTGAAAGCTTTCTCTACTTTATATCAAGTTCCAAAGAATCTACCCCAGTGATTTAGATCACGCCTACTCTACATAGCCGAAGCCATCTGGATCAACTCCAGAAAACCGAAATTATACATTCACGAAAGGTATATCTAGCCTTTATGTTTACCTTAGCCTACGACTGCATCACCGGATACCTAAACTGAATACTATAAACCTCTGATATCCCCTCCCAGTCCCTTTCGCGTTTATATCTCTCCTATTCTTCACATCCATCTTTCTCAATTCGTATGAATTCCTTTTTAATCGTAATTACCTTGATAGCACCCCTCTTATTACATATTATATTCACACAACGATATTATTATTATTATCATCATCGTTACCTCGATTAACAAGACGAAATTCTCCTACTATGCACTTTATTCACTCGATATTCTTTCTTGTTACTATTATATTGATTGTGACTTGACACTAGTCTAAACTATTCTGACCTTTACTGAATGACCTTTCTAATGATTTTGAAGTATTTATGTCGTAACAGATGCAAACATCCACTATTTTTAGCATATCACATTGTCGAATTCATTAATACATGCCTTATTTTGACATTTGTAAAATATCATAATTATGGAGCCTGATGATGAAGTGATTGAAAACAAACGTCCGTTCAAATATTCTCCATCTTTGAAAATTCTATGAGAATTTTTAAACAGTTTTAAGAAAATATGGTGAGATCAATAAACTGAGTTTGATAATAATTAGGTGAAGATGATAATGATGGTAAGACTACGTTAGATAAAATGGTTTAAGATTATAAATAAAAACGTAAGAATAACATCAGACTGTCATGAAATCTATGAATGATCCTTAAACATTTAATGTACTTTTTTAAAAAAAATTCACATTAATTTAGATCGAATATCAGGAACAGTCATTTGGTACGTACTCATTAAGCTGATAAACTAACTTGAAATATTCCGTAATTGTTTTAGTGTTAAAATTTTACTATTTTATACGATTAAGTATTGGTAATCGTAGAAAAAAAAGAAGTATAAAAAAACGATTTTTTGATATACTTTGATGAGTTTTACTAATATTCCTCTCTTAAAAATAGAAGTACTTGACACCGATAGGATGAATCCTATACGGAACTACAAATGCAGTGATCCGAAAACAAACCTATTCAATTAACAAGCAATTTGTAGTGGTTTCTTTTAAACTTTAAAAAAGTCTGTATCATAGTTTGACATCAGTTTGTTTACTGATATAAATCACTAGGTACTGGATAGTTGTTTTATCGTCATTTAGGATGATTCGATGGTGTACACCTACAAAGGTAAATGAGATCAATACGTAGTTCTTCATTTCTACAGACCTCTTTGAATTGTTCAAATAAAATTTATGTTTTAAATGGCCTTATTTGATCAGTTACGGAAACTTTGTGACCATCATTTAAATCAATTGTAGGAGTACTCACCAAAATTAGAACGATCAGTCTGACATAGATCCGACTTCAAACATACATTTCTTGAAGGAAATTCATATCAGTTTGACTGGTGAAACATCCGAATTATTTAAATTTTAATCAGTAAGCTTATTTCAAATAAAAAGTTTTACATATAATGGTATCATTTAATTTTCAGACAAATATTTGACAAAAATTAAAAGTAATATTTAGTTTAAAACCTTGAAACTAAATCAATGAATAAATTTTATCAAGTTCTGAGTTATTGTTTAGTGTTTTAACTTATAAAACGGAGTTCTGAAGTAAACATCAACTATGGCATGCAGATACATCCAGTTAATGAGTTCCGAATAGTACAAAACGCGCATCCTCAATTCCACTGCTAGCCACCATCCATTTTTATTGATAATGCTTGTGACTTAAAGCAATCTCGAGGTAATCCGTACAGGATGCATATATGCCAATAAAAGACTAATCAATTTCAATCTTAAACATCAATGAAAAGATTCAAACAAACGATAGAAAATGAATGAAACGATATTATGTTTTAAATTTAAGATTTGAACAAAAATCACATTGAACTTTCTTGCTATTCAATATAGGAAGAGGATTAGCTTAAAACTGATATATAATGAATCACATATTGATTTCTGATAACTAAACTGCTTCTTTTTTTATTCTCCTTATACTATTATTCTAACGTGTATAAAAAACATTGTTATTTTAGTATTAAATTATTTTTATAGCACATATATATATTGTATATAATGATTGAATTATATAATACAAAATAAATAGATGATACAATAAAATAGAATAAATACTTGTGATTCTGTAACAAGATGTGCTCTCTTTTCAATTAATAATTGATTATCCATATTTGAACCAGATTGATTTAATTCTGCTTCAAGTTTGGATATTTGATTAAATTTATTCTCTATCATTTCTAATTGTTCATTTAACGTTGGTTTACGTATACCATCTGAACTGGATGTTCTTCGATCTTTTAATTTAGTTTGTTGTTCTTTAAAATGATCATATACTTGTGGTAATGCTTCATGAAGATAGAGAGTTTTGGTTTTTTTAATTCTGTTTTTTTAAAGAAAATATTCAAAAGATAACTGGTTAAGATAATTGTTTAAAAAAGTTTTTTGTATCACACAATATATGAAGTGTAATAACGATTTGATTTTAACACAATTATATTAAGATTCTGCTATGTCACGATAAGCATAATGAATGGTAACTTTTGCGATCCATTTGTGAACCAATGCTATGCGTATATTTTTATCGTATCATTGTTAAATAACTAAACTATTCATATTCATGTTCCTCTTATTATGAGCTTTATTTTGACCTATGAAATATTATTATACGATTTATCATTCTTGAATTATGCCCTGTCGTTTAATTACTACCTCCCACATTCACAGCCATATTTGGCTAATTCTTGTACAGATGTTGTTTCCTATTTCATGGTGCGATGTGGTCTATCTGGTTGGTACATAAACGCAGTATGCTTGAAATAAATTATTCATATCACAGAGGTTGAGATTGGTGTTCTGGACTTAACTGGTTTGGCTAGGCAGGAAGCAGGACGGTTAAGTACTATAGACTGCTCGTACGTGTTTTATGCGTCATTGGTCCGATCGATAATTCACTGCTCTCTAATTGGCGGTATCATTACGTATACATTAGCAGGGTACACAGGCCACAAGTTATAACAGATTCAACTGCCGTTAAAAATTAGTCTACATGAGTTTGAACTCTATCATGTGATTGTCCATCGTATTTAATTCATTTTACTGTACATAATTTCGTTTAATAGTTGATTACGTTGACTAGCTTAATAATGATTTAGTCAGTTAGGATGGATGTGGAATAATTAAATGTTAGTTTGATATAGAAAATATGTATTTGTATCACTAAGAATAATTTTGTGTTTTTTTTCAAAGCAATTTAAAATATATTTCAAAACTATAGGGAAACGTTTTTTTTACAGTATATTTGGATTATTATTCATATTATCTAAAGTTCTTAACTGTATACATCAGTGATGTATACTATCTGACTACAATATTCCTATTTATTAATGAATTACGTGAGTTTAGAAAGAGATTAAGGTTGTGTACAAAATCGTAGGATCTATAATTGGACAGGTTTAATAGATGGAATTTTATAATTTTCAAATAAATATAGTTTTCTAATTTTTTTTTTCAATCAAAACAAAACAATATTGAATATTTAATGGATACCGTCGGAAGTAATTATCAAGTTAATGCAATTTAGTAAGCTTTAAACGTAAAAAATCATTTAGTGATAAATAAGGTTGCATTAATTTACAACAAGACTACTCAGAATTATCGACTAGTATTTATGTATTTATATATATGATGATATTAAGTTCAACTTATGATTAATATTGAAATGGATTTCTTAAAGTCTCAAGAAAAATCCACAGTTGTGGAATTCAATTAAAACGGTAGTGAGATAGTAGTTCACTGACAGGGTTAAATTTGGATGATGATATGTATCAAAATATGAACAACTGAATGCTATTATTATACTTTGCACATAGTTTGAAGATTTTGAATTAGATCTTCTGTACATTCATGAACGCTCAACACTACCGAGTAGTTTCGGACTAAAATAAAACAGATTTCTAGTGTTCTATACATTACTAAACTGTTCTATTTCATATGTGCGTTCATGATAGAAATCATCTTCAACCAATAGATTTTAAGACACAATGAACAAAAGTGAACCCAGGTTAATCAACAATATGCTAAGTTTAACTGAACCCCCCTCCTAATACTAAACATTATTACATAGTATGCATTGAAGCAGCTATACAAGTTGACAGAAACTCAGGATATCTATTTTCTAATAATTTCTAATTGAATTAAATGACCACATCACATACGAGTCCCGTTTGCATATATATATATATATATATATATATATATCGAGACCTAATATATGTATATATATATGATATATATATATATATATATATATGTATATATATGTATATATATATATATATCATAACAATTATTTTAATATCATTAATAATACTAATTTGGCTTTTAGCAATGGTTGTTAGTCTAAAAAAAAGGAGAGACAAGATTAACTTGTTCCATAGTGAGTAAGAAACGTACTATCATGCAACTATTCTTGTAAAGCAGAAACAGAAACCTAATTTAGGTCATATGAATTCATTAATTTTTCTATTCATAAGTTCTATTATATTATCAAAAGATGAATTAATGCATGATATTACTAAGGTGGTTATTGTCATTACATTGGTAAATAACTAAGCTATACATATATATATATATATCTCACATTTGGGGAATTATAGAAATAATCCCAAAGTGAATATTTAGGCAAATGAAATTATATAAAAGAATAGGAGAAAAAGTACACATTTGCTTTTAATGTACACAATTTAAATCTAATAATCATAATGATAATAATAGTAATAAAACTAAGTAATCAGTTCAATATTAACAATCAAACTTTTTACCATCATAATTACAATAGTTTTATGAAATAGGAATTTCCTTAAACGAAAAGTATAAGCAAAAATAAAGTAAGTCTTATCTATAAAATTACCTATTCGGTACATTAATGTTGCTACTAGTAGTACTATATTTAATTCATATTTGTTTTCAGAAGTTTTATGGAGATTATAGTAATTTCAATAGTTGAGATCATGAGTCAATCGAAACTAGACTACCATGGAAAACCTGAAGGCACTGGACGGCCGTTTCGTCTCATTGTAGGACTCTTAAACAGTGCATATACACGATCCCGCCTCGCAGGATTCGACTCCAGGACCAGTGGGGTTTAACTGGGTCAGTTGTGAGATAATAACTCACTGAGAACAATAGTGAATGTGCCGCTCAATTTCATGGATTAGTTGAAGTTAGGCATTATCACCTTTGGATGCCGACCCAGTTGTCATACTTACTTATTGATAATTGTTGTTGATTACCTTCATTTTAAAATATAATTTTATCTCATAAGATCAGTGAGTTAAGGATTCATTGTTGTCCTTGTTGTTTTTCTCTTCCAGATTATGATATGTACTTTTCTAATAACTTTACTCATGCATTATAATGATTTTATGTTAAAAGTAATCATACTAACGACTAGAAGATATATGTATATGCTATTTTGAGACTGGTTTTGATTAAATTAATGTGTTAAAAACATATTTTATTTTATCTGGTAGTATGTAAATATCTTTAGTTAGTGTAATCTTCTCGCTTGAAACCTAATTAACAGACTCTTCATTGTCAAGCAAGAGGTTCATATTAATGTGACCTTATATTAGACCCATGTTAGCTTATAATTAAACTGAAGAACAAAAGAAATTCCAGTTCAATTATTTTTATCAATCAGCTTCGATACAGTTTCATTTACTAGTATCTACTCATGTAAACTCATTTATATAATACAAACTTTTCATTATGAGATCACTTACGATTTTTCCAATTCATTCCAACGTTTTATTGTTTGTTCCATGTCAGCACGTATCCGACTAGTATCCTCTGTAGGGAACTGTTTAATTAATGCTTCACATTCTTTTTGATATAATTTAATCTTAGCACATCTTTGCGGCAAACTATCGATCAGTTCCTGAATTCATTAAATAATATATAGTGTAAAAGTGTAATGACTATTAGAATATTGATATTTGAATGTAACACTCGAGTAAAATTAACAATTTAAAGACATATTACTTCAGTGTCATATGAAAACCGTTAACATTCTTCATCACCTACTGATAGCAGCTGGAGAATCATTTAGAAAAAACCCAGAAATGTACTGTAAAGCCATAATGTACTAATGTAAAAGAAAGCAATAGGCAGAAAGTTTGCAAATCTTGTGTTATAAAGTATTAACATATTACATATACATAGATTTCAATCGTCCATTTTGATTTTTCAGTATGCCCTGCCATTCAAACTGTCTTCTCATCCTACCTTCAAGTAGTCTGTCAATACCGTGCTTTTGCTGTATTGAAACTCTTCACTACGTCCGACAACTTTGAGGTCACGTTTTGCAACAGGCTACTTACAAGCAATTTTGTGAGTAGCATTCATTACATTAGGAGTGTGTAAATAAACATATCAATAATCACAAAACTCCACTTATTGCTAGAAAACCTTAAAATGATTTTAAAAAATCTGTCCGATCAACGATGTGGTATATTTGTCATCAGTAAATATACATAAATATATTCATAATAATAAAATATTCATCATGTACGTTATGGGATAATACTAAACAGTAAGTATAGAACTAATAAACTATTCATATATTTCATCTTGTGATTAAGAGATATTTCACCAAATTACATAGGTTTCATTCAAATGATTTACACGATTGAATGTTCACGTAATTTTATTTTTACTTTTAAATAGTCTTTTGTATCAAATACATATAGCCGAATAAATGACAAATGAAACTAATTTTTTACGGATATAAAAATTAATTATGACTGAAAAGAAAAGGTAAAATCAAAGTAACAAACTTTCGACTACTGATGGGTTTAAAATCAACAAAAAAATATATATATTGAGAGTAATTCGTAAGTAAATTAATATAAACATAAAATAACTCAACACAAAATGTGACGGCGAGACTCTAATTTATGGATGACCTTTGAACAAATCTTAGGTGAGCTTAACAAATCTTAGCCAACCAATAAACAGTAAATATAGAGTAAAAAGATGTTATATAAAACCAAGGAAATAAAGTGGATACACTTCTTATACGTGATTCAGAAACTTGTCAAGGTTAGAAAGAGGTTCAGAGGTTCTAAAATCGTAATGCATGCAGTAGAGGAAGTCATCCATATGGCTACAGAATAGTCAGCCTCTGGAGCCATGGTAAACTCTCAAAAACTCTTTCAGTCTGGACCACACAGTTTCAGTACTGTTTACGTGCACTCCGGTTGTTGAGTGCACAAACTGCTACTTGTGGATAACGACACGATGCACATAACCAAGCCTATGTAGGAGTGTGTACGCTCTCAAAACATCCGTATATATTGTAGTACCTGGCTGCAGCCAGTGTGACTGGTGCTTTTATTATCCAGTTCGCGATAATTGTCGTAATTTGCCTTAATTAGGAATTACATATAGGGTTTTCATCACGAGCTGACATCAGCTATAATGCCAGAAATTTATTTAGCCAAATGGATGAAAGACTTTTGTGCCAAAATCCGAGATCTATTATCTTATACATGACTGATTCGTCCACAAATTATAGTCTCGTCGTTTTATTTGTTATAACTGCTCAATTATCACGTTTTGTACAAAATTCCGTGTGATCCGAACGTACGTTAGCATTAAGTACTGAATTTGGCGCCGTAACCTTGAAATCTCTCAAACGCTTCTGATTGGGCCGTCCATAAATTAGAGTCTTGTCAATGTGACAATTTACAATAGAATCGATAGAATTTCATGATAATTAGCTGTATAAGTTAATAATCATATGCATTCTTTAAAAAAAGTGTTACTAAGATACTTTGTAGTGGAAAATTGTTTTTATTTCATATGTTTCAAGATATGAATATTTTTACGAATAATAACTGTTAAGAATAAATGAAATTCAAAATTAGAACTTTCCATATAATCAGGTTTATAGCATTAATACAAAATCAACTACAAAATACTGAGAAGAAAAAATCCGTAATATTGGTATAGAGGATTGTTGAACTTCACTGTTCACATTATGAACACTCACTAAGAAGGACTTGACATACGTGATAATGGTCACTACTCAGTGATCAATCAATTGTAAATACATCGCAGTCTTACAAGAGGTCCAGTTACTCCTTAGATAGATCTAATCCTAATTACGCAATCACTGAAAACCTAGAAGCATCAAATAACTGTTTTATTCTAGTATGAGGTCCTTTATTAGTACACATCCGTGATTACACCAGAACTAAACTAAACATATTTCGGCCTAGCAGTTAAAGCTTAAACAGTTCGTATAGACCTTACTTCAATTAGTTAACCTGTCCAACACTTTCCAGCTTTCAATTTCTGTATAATATCAGTCAGTGAAGTGAATCATAAAAATCGAAAATAGTATTTGTTTCTATGTATTATTCTTTTCTCGGAACATATACTCACTTATTATTTAAGGGAAGACCATAATAACTACTTTAAACTAATATGAAATAATGAAGGGATATTCATTGATTTGTGACCTTGATTTTGATGCTTGAATACTCATTTTGTTGTTGTTGTTATCAATCAAGTAGCTTGATTAAATAATATTATATGCAAATGGTAACACTGATTTTCTTTAAATATTCAGTCAATCAGATAGTGGTTCTGTCTTCTAAAGTTTGTTTATTTAAGAGTTCACTTATCAATTCTGTTCAAATTTGATCATTTTTATTATACCAATCACTTCAGTATTTTATTAATCAATTATTTGATCACTCTATGCTTTATGAAAGATTTAAATAAGATAAATATGTTTTTCTTTTTACATTTCCTAACACTTATAAACTCTTTGATAATGAACTTCTCTTATTAGTTTTAAGAAAACTAAAAATTAGATATTTACTGAATTACAATTAAGCATATGTTTATCTTTAAAATATGTTAGAAAATAGGGCAAATTTTTGTTATTTCTTAAAACATTACCGTTTGTTAATGTTAGCAGAAAAAAATCAAACAAACAAGGACATGGAATGATGTATAGATAGGAAAAGATCAAATCATTTTCATACTAATTAGTTTAATGCAACTTGGCTATAAATTATAAATCGTTGTATTCAGTATAAAATACTGCTTTCAATGTGTGATTCTAAGTGATCAAACATAATGAACTGAAATATTTTTCTTAATGTATCCTTTGAAAAATTAGAATTTACATCACGCAGTGTAACCGTTACATAATTTATCATTCAACTATTCTAGCATTAAATGTTTTCTGAAGAGATCTTGGTCTCCAAAACAATTGTTTTCAGTTCAAGTATTCGATGATGGCAACTATGAAATAAGTTCAAATTCACTCGAGCATCATCACTTACTCCAAGATTGAAACTAGGCAGTTCTGACGAAATCTAGATTCATAATTTGTTTTTGACTGTTTCTAATCACATGATATCAATTTTTTGCAACATTAAGTCATGCGGACTGGCGGATAGCATTGAAATTTCATTGAGAATTTATTCGATATCAAGGAATAAATAACATGACATGGACTATCGTTCAGTAATTAAACATACTATCTGACTGAAGACGGAGTTGATCCAAAAAGTCTATCAGCACAACTCCGTTTTCTCAGTGTTCTATCAAAATTTATAAAAAGAGACTGATTACTTTAAGTGCCTGACTGAAGTGAGTTAATTATAGTTCTAAACCAATAACAAAAGTTGTACACCTAATTCGTGAAATTATAAAAATTACGTCCATAAAAAATAAATTACATCGAATATGTAAATTATGATGAAGCAACCTACTTGTAAATGTTTACGACATGTTTCTGGAGTCATGACAAGAATTCTAGAAGTCGATAAACTTTGATCATTCGACTGATTCTTTGATGTATCAATACTTTGTAAATCAGCTTCTGTTTTGCTAATTTCTCGTTCAACATCACGTTCTAATTCTTTTAAAGTTTGTATACCAGATAACATTTGATCTAATTTTTCTGAACGTTCAATCATTTGTTGTTCAACTGAATCCCATTGATTTTGTAGTTGATCAACTTTAAAGTTAAACAAAAAATGAAAACTTAAATGATCATAGACTCTTGTGTACAGAAATGAAGACGTATTTGAAGGTATAAGAATATTTAATACATTTTAATTCAGTAACATATGTTCAATTATTTTCTTTAATAATTCCATTCATTTAAGCTTCAGTAGAAAACGTTTACAATACAACATCTACCATAAAATTAGTCTAAACAACTGACTTAATGTAAATCATTTCAAAACATCACTCCAAGAAACCAAAATCAATAATCCACAATTTAACATTTTAACTCCTCACTATTTGAATGATTTATGTATTCATATTTGTTTTGTTAACAATAACTTTCGAATTTCAATGGTTAAGATCATGAGTCAAATGAAGCTAGACTACCATGGAAAATCTAGAACCACTGGACGGTCATTTCATCCTATGATAGGACTCCGTAGAAGTGAGTGTCCAAGATCCCACCTCACGAGATTAGAACTTAGGATCTGTCAGTCTCGCACGCGAGTGCTTAACCTCTAGACCATTTGGCCGACATCTAACGATATTAATGTCTAACTTTTGATATTAATATATATCTCATAGAAATGTGGTTTAACTTGGCATGAACACTAATCTTAGATAATATATAAATAAAATGCCAATTTTTCTATCTCAAACTATTAAATATAATAAACAAAAATAAACTATTTTATCATGATGAATAATTTGAATTGAAGCCGAATATGATTTCAAAGGATAAACTACCAACTAATTTAATGATATAAATGAAACATTTCTGATGGAAAAAAGAAGCCAATAAAAGAAAGATTGAAATTATGTTATACTTAGAAAAAAAACAAAAAAGGAAATGAATATCTTTCTCAACCTTTCTCGTATTCAATAATAATGAAAAAAACAATCAATTATTTGAATCTTTTCAAGTTGTATTCAATTATAACTTTTTTATTACTAAGGAAATCAAGCACTTAAAAAAAATAAAGTGAAATTAGGTTCTATAATAATTACAACAGAGTAAAAATTTATAGTTTTTGATTGAGATCATGAACCGATTGATGTTAGACCACCATTGAAAACCTGGAAGCACTGGATGGCCGTTTCATCCTATTGTGGAACTCCTCAGCAGTGCGCATCCACGATCCTGCTCATGGGATTCGAACCCAGGACCTTCAGTCCACACCACTGGATGCCGGCTCAGTGGTCCAGCAGGTTAAATGTTTGTGCGCAAGACTGAAGGCTCTGAGATCGAACCATGGGACTCGTCAACTAATAGGAAATCGCGACGGCGTTTGAAGCGAACGGTACTGAGTTCGAGTCCCGTAGTGAATATCAACTCTGAGATGCGGATACATCAATCTGTCGAGTCCCAAATGGGAGGAAACGCGCCCTCACGTCCACCGTTAGCCACCATCCATCTTTGCTTAAAAAGCTTGTGACTTAAGGCTATACCGAGACAATCCGCACAGGATGCATATATGCCAACATGAGATTGATCAACTGCAGTCCTAAATAACAATGGGAAGATACAAGTAAAACAACATCAAGTGGATTTAGGGAAACCAATGCTTTGAATTTTCATGGCCCAGCATGATAAGATAAAATGTTGAAATTGAGGTTAAATGTAATCATGAGAAACATATCTTATCATGTTGAACCATCCTTTCTCAATGATAATTTCTCTATCTTTTGTTGAAAATTTAAGCCATTAACAATCAAATGATTATTAGTTTCCCTGATTATAAAAAGATTTTTTCTAAAACTTTTTTTATTTTACTTTACCGTCACCATGTCTAACAGAAATTTATTATCATTATTATTGTACTTATTATCATCCGGGAAAAAAAACATATATATTTACTATTACAGAACTTTGGAAAGAGAACTCTTCACTGAACCTATCTTTTTTGTTGAACTTCTTTTTTTTACACTCAGTTTATTTTCATTGCTTCGTTTTTAAATCATTTCATGTGTTGCATAATTTTTTATCAAAAATGTAAAGTAATTGCCGATAATATAATTATTGTTTCTTTACCTCCAAAATTATTTCTATTCATTGAAGTTAAACGTTTCATTTAGTTATATTTTACTTGGAACAAGAAAACTTAATTGTTAACATTATATGTGAAAATTATACTTGAAATAATCTCAGCGATTGAAACTTGAATAGTTCCAACGTTTCGTCCAGCTAACTTGTCTGGACTTCTTCAAGGTAATAATCAAAATCAACTTCATCAAATAAATGTAAAGCTTTTTAATAGTCATAAGTATACTGTGTTACACCAATCAAATTTGGATGTTGATTGTTAAAAAGTTATATATTTATTTGATGATGTTGATTTTGATTATTACCTTGAAGAAGTCCAGACAAGTTTGCTGGACGAAATGTTGGAATTATTCAAATTTTAATCGCTGAGATTATTTCAAATATTTTTTTTTGTAAAGTAAGTAATCAAAATAAGAGATTTATTGATATTTATTGATAATTATCTTTATATAGGCAATTAGTAATAACTAATGTCAATAGAAAAGAATAAAATCTTAACAAAAGAACAAATATAACTATGAAATGTAGTAAAATGATCGAAAACATCTGGTATAGCAAAGGATTTGTTTCATGATGGATAAATGATATAATTTGTTATAGAAGTAATATAGAACAAGAACTAATGTAAGTATCAAAGACCAGATGGATAATTAAATAAAAATATTTCAGCGCCTAATGAACAAGATGGAAATAGATCATTATATATTAAGGGTTTGTGCTTTAAGATAAGTCAATTCATTATAGATCGTATACTGATCGTATGACCTTCCAATTTAAGTAGGAAAACCGTTTTTTTTGGGAGGGATTGTTTTATTGGATTTCTATTAAGTGAACATATGATAATTGATTGAAGTCTTAAATTTGAAATACTGTAAGTTCGTGAATCTGCATTGTTAAAAGATATGAGACTAAGTTAAAACTGGTTAGTATTTAATAAGTTTCACTTGGTATTTTACCTGAGTAATGATAGTCCTGAAACTCATCTATTCATAACATCAAAGCATTACATTTTGTTGCTGACCACCTTTTTTTTCTAGTTCGATATATCAAAATAATGTTATTAAAATTGTTAAGAAAATAAAAAAAGACGTTCAAACTTTTTGAAATTCATATTCACTAAAATATAGTTAACATTACGTTTGTTCATTAACGAAATTGATGTATTTCAGTTTGTTTTACGCATATTCTTGTATGAATAGTTTATTAGCATAATTATTATTCTGCCTATTGTTTAATGAATATTTTCAAGATACTAGAAACTTGATGTTGATTTACAAATGAAGCAATATGACATCAGATTATTAATGATTTAGAGAAATCATCTGATGAGGAGTCCCACAATAGAACGAAACGGCCGTCCAGTGCTTCCAGGTTTTCATAGGTGGTTTAACATCAATCGGTTCATGATCTCAATCAATAAATCATCTGAAACCTGTTACATACATAAATTTACATTATTTTTAATACTTGAAATTTAGTTAAAACTGGAAGAAAAAAAGACATATCTAGAACTATGAGAAGCATTCATTCGATCATAATTTATTAAAGGAACTAATTGCGTTCAACATCTAGAGTTGTTTGGTCATTTATTTGTATGTGTATGTATATGGAAGAAGAAACTATTAGACTATTGTAACTGTTCAAAAGTGATATTAATATAGATGTAGATCGACACCTCACAAATTAGTATACGTTTACGGATTTATTTATGTATAAGTATTTCGTTTGTAAATTAGTAACGATGTTAAAAATGAATTATTATACATATTCTCTATTTAAATATTACACAACATCATACGGACATTTAAATGTAAGTCAATTCGGTCTAATAAAGAAATCTGGTAGATTTTATCAATGAACCAAATAAATTAATACTGGTAATTCAGATGCTTGAAAAGTGAAAGTATAAAATCGATGAGAATTTTGATTTGAGTAAGTACCTTTGGATAAATAAAATACCAAAACTAAATCGTTTGACTGAATGATATTTGAATTCATTTTATTTCGTAGGTTCTCGTCAGCTGCTTACAACCTGTGATATTTAAAAATCATAATTACATAATTGGTTCAAATTGCTTACATGAGAGGGTCTGTTTGGAAGTTATATTGAAGATATATTCGTAAAGTATATCATGGGTGTAAATGAAATTATTAGACTGAATATTGTAAATATATACCTAATGTGAAAGAATATTCCACAGCATTAATTGTGACAACAGTTCAAAGGGGTAGAAACAATTGATTACATAATGAATAAACATTGATAGGAACATAGTGAGCAGAGTTCAGTTGAAAGATTATTATTTGAAAGATAGTTGGAAAAATAAAATCAATGATGTAATAAATACAAAAGAAAGAAAATTTTAAGGTGCAGCGAAAGAATAGTTGTCACCAAGGCAAGGAAAGATTAACAGCCGTCTCCTTTTGAACATATAGGTCAGGTTTTTGATGCCTGATGGCAACGGCTTCAGCAAACTTCAAAAGACTGGAGTTTGGCTGCTTACTAATCACCCTAAAAGATTGTTAGGTATCTACCTGTTGTTCTGTATCAAAGAGATTTTTGGTGATTGCACTATTCAGAGTTTTTCTTTCCTTTGTTCTAAGACTTTTTGAATCGAATAATTCATATATATTATTACTGCAAATAAATGTCAATTGGACATGTATTGCAACAAATAACAGAAATTTATTTTATCATACTCTGTTTTATCGTACAAGTACATTTATTCAACCGTTAAATATAATTGCATTGGATGATCAAAGTTTTGTAAGGGGATAATTTACGGTTGATTTTTGAATAATTTTTACACTGGTTATGCATTTATTTATAAAATATACAACTACAAATATACAAAATATAAGAAATCTGTGATCATTATTATTATTAGTAGTAGCAGTGCTGCGTGTGCTACTTATGTTTTTAGACATAGTTTTGTATGTAACACCAGTCGAAAGCAGAATAT